AGTGGTTTAGCTCGTCTGGTAGGCTTGTGTCACTGGGCAGCTCGCGGCTGTGCTCACCTTTGTAGTCTGTAATAGTTTTCAAGCCCTGCCACATCCGACGAGCACCAGAGCCAGTGTAGTACGATTCAATCTTAGACCTGTATTGACTCTTTGCCTGTTTGATGGTTCGTCGGAGGTCATAGCGGGATTTCTTATAAGCGTCCGGGTTAGAGTCCCGTTCTTTGAAAGCAGCAGCTCTACCCTTTAGCTCAGTGCGGATGTTTCCTGTAATCCATGGCTTCTGGTTGGGGTATGTACGTACGGTCACTGTGGGGACGACATCATCGATGCACTTATTGATGAAGCCAGTGACTGATGTGGTGTACTCCTCAATGCTGTCTGAAGAATCCCGGAACATGTTCCAGTCTGTGCTAGCAAAACAGTCCTGTAGCTTAGCATCTGCGTCATCTGACCACTTTTTTATTAACCGAGTCACTGGTGCTTCCTGCTTTAGTTTTTGCTTATAAGCAGGAATCAGGAGGATAGAGTTATGGTCAGATTTGCCAAATGGAGGGCGAGGGAGAGCTTTGTATGCGTCTCTGTGTGTGGAGTAAAGGTGGTCTAGAGTTTTTTTCCCTCTGGTTGCACATTTAACATGCTGGTAGAAATTAGGTAGAACGGATTTAAGTTTCCCTGCATTAAAGTCCCCGGCCACTAGGAGCGCTGCATCTGGATGAGCGTTTTCCTGTTGATTACTGGCCTTGTACAACTCATTCAGTGCAATCTTAATGCCAGCATTGGTTTGTGGTGGTAAATAGACAGCTATGAAAAATATAGATGAAAACTCTCTTGGTAAATAGTGTGGTCTACAGCTTATCATAAGATACTCTACCTCAGGCGAGCAAAACCTCGAGACTTCCTTAGTATTTGATTTTGTGCACCAGCTGTTGTTTACAAATATACACAGACCGCCACCCCTTGTCTTACCGGAGTCAGCCGTTCTGTCCTGCCGATGTAGCGTATAGCCTGCTAGCTGAATGTTATCATTGTCGTCGTTCAGCCACGACTCGGTGAAACATAATATATTACAGTTTTTAATGTCCCGTTGGTAGGATAACCGTAATCTTAAGTCGTCCACTTTATTTTCAAAAGATTGAAAGTTGGCTAATAGGATTGATGGAAGAGGCAGTTTACTCGCTCGCCGTCGGATCCTTACAAGGCACCCCGATCTCCGTCCCCGATATCTCCGTCTCTTCCTCACGCGAATGACAGGGATTTGGGCCTTGTCGGGTGTCTGTATGATATCCTTCGCGGCCGCCTCGTTGAAGAAAAAATCTTCGTCCAATACGAGGTGAGTAATCGCTGTCCTGATATCCAGAAGCTCTTTTTGGTTATAAGAGACGATGGCAGAAACATTATGTACAAAATAAATTACAAATAACGCGGAAAAACACACATAATAGTACAATTGGTTAGAGGGCTGTAAAACGGCAGCCATCTTCTCCGGCGCTGTTCAGGTGTTAAACTTATGGGCATGTGGCAGCAGTATGTAGGAGGGAGATTCCAAGGTATGATAAGTGTGCAGAAGGGCATGAGACAAAGGAGCATGAAGCAGTGGGGAAAGTGGTGGTATGTGCTAATTGTAGGGGTGGCCATGGGGCTGGGGATCAGACATGTCCAGCGCGAGAGAAGCAGGTTGAGTTTTCCAGGGTAAGAGTAGAGAAGAAATTGTCATATGCGGAGGCAGTGAAGAAAGTAGAGGAAGAGGGGTCAAGGGGGTGGGGGGAGTGGTGAGAGTAGGACATATATACCAGTACAGTGGGATAGGCAAGCAAGTGATACAGTGGGGAAAAAAAGTATTTAGTCAGCCACCAATTGTGCAAGTTCTCCCACTTAAAAAGATGAGAGAGGCCTCTAATTTTCATCATAGGTACACATCAACTATGACAGACAAAATGAGAAAAAAATATCCAGAAAATCACATTGTAGGATTTTTAATGAATTTATTTGCAAATGATGGTGGAAAATAAGTATTTGGTCAATAACAAAAGTTTCTCAATACTTTGTTATATACCCTTTGTTGGCAATGACACAGGTCAAACATTTTCTGTAAGTCTTCACATGGTTTTCACACACTGTTGCTGGTATTTTGGCCCATTCCTCCATGGAGATCTCCTCTAGAGCAGTGATGTTTTGGGGCTGTCGCTGGGCAACACGGACTTTCAACTCCCTCCAAAGATTTTCTATGGGGTTGAGATCTGGAGACTGGCTAGGCCACTCCAGGACCTTGAAATGCTTCTTACGAAGCCACTCTTTCGTTGCCCGGGTGGTGTGTTTGGGATCATTGTCATGCTGAAAGACCCAGCCACGTTTCATCTTCAATGCCCTTGCTGATGGAAGGAGGTTTTCACCCAAAATCTCACGATACATGGCCCCATTCATTCTTTCCTTTACATGGATCAGTCGTCCTGGTCCCTTTGCAGAAAAACAGCCCCAAAGCATGATGTTTCCAACCCCATGCTTCACAGTAGGTATGGTGTTCTTTGGATGCAACTCAGCATTCTTTGTCCTCCAAACATGACGAGTTGAGTTTTTACCAAAAAGTTATAATTTGGTTTCATCTGACCATATGACATTCTCCCAATCCTCTTCTGGATCATCCAAATGCACTCAAGCAAACTTCAGATGGGCCTGGACATGTACTGGCTTAAGCAGGGGGACACGTCTGTCACAGCAGGATTTGAGTCCCTGGTGGCGTAGTGTGTTACTGATGGTAGGCTTTGTTACTTTGGTCCCAGCACTCTACAGGTCATTCACTAGGTCCCCCCGTGTGGTTCTGGGATTTTTGCTCACCGTTCTTGTGATCATTTTGACCCCACGGGGTGAGATCTTGCGTGGAGCCCCAGATCGAGGGAGATTATCAGTGGTTTTGTATGTCTTAAATTTCCTAATAATTGCTCCCACAGTTGATTTCTTCAAACCAAGCTGCTTACCTATTGCAGATTCAGTCTTCCCAGCCTGGTGCAGGTCTACAATTTTGTTTCTGGTGTCCTTTGACAGCTCTTTGGTCTTGACCATAGTGGAGTTTGGAGTGTGACTGTTTGAGGTTGTGGACAGGTGTCTTTTATACTGATAACAAGTTCAAACAGGTGCCATTAATACAGGTAACGAGTGGAGGACAGAGGAGCCTCTTAAAGAAGAAGTTACAGGTCTGTGAGAGCCAGAAATCTTGCTTGTTTGTAGGTGACCAAATACTTATTTTCCACCATTATTTGCAAATAAATTCATAAAAAATCCTACAATGTGATTTTCTGGAATTTTTTTTCTCAATTTGTCTGTCATAGTTGCCGTGTACCTATGATGAAAATTACAGGTCTCTCTCATCTTTGTAAGTGGGAGAACTTGCACAATTGGTGGCTGACTAAATACTTTTTTTCCCCACTGTATATGTTTCAGTAAGATTTGATTTTTAGCGTTTATAGCAATGGTTATTAATTGTACTGCAGGGATGGAACGTAAGTCGAAGAAAATTGAGGTTGTGGTGGCAGCTGCAGAGAGAAATTTGGGTGTGCGAGACTTGACAGCAGAAGAGTTACAGGGAGTGTTAAGTGGTGATGTCCCATCATTTCAGGTTGAGTGCATGAGGTAGGTTTGAGTATATCTAAATAGTGGAGAAGGGTGGGGTTAATTATTAGTAATAGTTTTGAATTTGTGAGTGTAGTGTTAGATGGTAGGGTATTTCTTTGCTTTGTTTTATTATATTTTTCAAGGAAAAGAAAAGGGAGTTGTACTCCAGTCTAGTAGGTGGCGGTAATGCAACAAATTGGATGCCAACCGCAGTTAAACCTCATTGAAGAAGAAGACAATTCGATTGGGAGAGCAATGGCAGAAGCAGAAGCAATGCTTGATTCTGTTGGCGCGAGTGAAGATAGAGGAAATGAGTGGAATACTGTAACGTCTAAGAATGGAGCTAAAAGTGCTAAGCGGTGCTAAAAGGGCTAAGTTGTAAGTCAAGATAAGCCTCAGTATGATAATGCCTCATTCCTTGTTGGAGTGCGATGCATGAGCAAGGATGTCTTTTTGGGAAACCCGTTTGCGGTCACAAAGATGTGACCAGGAGTGCTATGATGTTGATTTCATGTGTGTCAAAATAACAAAAGGAGAAAGAACTGTGGATGTAAAAATAATAAACACATGAAGTGGAATGCTATTATCGGAGTAGGGCACTAATAAAAGGTGTCATATCTGGCGTCTCGATGGATATTGAGGCTTCATGGTTTAAGATGAACATGCCAGTAATGGTTAATTCACGTCACTTAACCCGCACTGTGAATAGAAAGAAGTGTCAAGTGTTTGCAAACGGAATATCATTGTTGAAGAGTCTGAGGATGCACGGTGCTGCAATTGTGATGTGAATCACGTTCCAGATTTCCCTGAGTGCCCTGTTCAGGTGAAGGAGGTCAAAGTAGGAAGGACCAGGGCTGTCGAGAAGGTCTCCTATGCAGAGGCATTCAATTGTTGAAGCAGTGAGTAGATATGATGAAGCTATGGCAGTGGATGATGCCCAACAGTCTATGGATGTCAGTCAGTGGAGAGAGAGATTTTGTTATGTTTATTGTGCAGGTGATTAATTGTACAGGACAAACTAACACAAAATCGAAGAAACTGGAAATCATCGTGTAAGTGGCTAAAAGGTTCTTGGATCTCCAGGATTTCACAGCTGAAACATTGCAGGGAATAATGTCTGAAGATGCTTCCCCCTTTTAGGCCCCAGAGCTGAGTACATTTGACTAAGTGAAGGAGTACATTGACTTTTGTTTAGTTTTTTAAGAATAAATGTGGAAATTATTATTATTATTTTGTTATAGTATTATTATTTTATTTTGAAATTTGTGAGTGTAGTGTTAGATGGTAGGTTATTTCTTTCTTCTTTTATTTTTCAAGCAAAATATAAGGGAGTTGTACTCCAGTCTAGTAGGTGGCGGTAATGCAACAAATTGGATGCCAACCGCCGTTAAACCTAATCGAAGAAGAAGACATTTTAAGAAGAAGAAGAAAAAGACGAAGTTGATGTTTGGTCGAATCCAGAAAGTCATATCCAAACAATTATTTAAGTATTCGACACAACTTTCCTTATTACGGATTTCAAGAACAGTCACTTCTAAAATGTCTTTCCAGTATCCAAATGCTTACCGTGACGAGGCAGTTGTAAGTAAGAGGCTAGCTAGTCATGCCGCTTTCAAGTGAATGGGGAGGAGCTAGCCACTTGCTAGCTTGCCATGATGTACCGGTACTTGCTAACTAGCTAGTCGTCTTTGTTTAGTTGGATAGCTTGAGGCTACTAAAATAAGTTGGCATTTGAACACATGCACATTGCTAGCTAGCTAGCTAGCTAGCTAGCTATGAACCGAGTTCGCAAGCTAACAAATGAACGCTAGCTAGCTAACTGTTAGCTTGTAGCATAATGTTACCGGCATGGATAACCAAACCTCAAATGAATGAGCCAGTTAGCTAGGCTTCGTTCGCCTTTTGTTGGCTTTGTTTCATGTTAGCTAGCTGCTAGCAAAGCTTTTGCATAGGCTAGCTAGCAAGCTAACCTTAGCTCTGTCATGTTATCACATAACATCCAGCAGCAAATGATGAATGATCAAAGTTGTTGGCTGACAGCTGCCGCACATTCTGGATTTCACCTGGTTGTTATTTCTTACAGGTGGATGACTACCATGGCAATAAGATTCCAGACCCGTACAGTTGGCTGGAGGACCCAGACAGCGAGAAGACGCAGGTAAACGCCCATCTGCCATTCATTCACCACTGGTTGTTTTATCAGCTGGTTTAGGTCAGGGAGTCCTTAGTCGGTGTCAACTTGGTGACAGAAATTCTGATAATTCTCATTAATTTGTATATTATTACTTTTATCAAGGGATAATAAAGTTAGCTGAGTTGGTCACTGTAGATTTTGTGCCACTGCCAACACCCCCCCACAATCAAGGACAAAGACTGAAATTACATTTGAGTCACCAACTAAAATGTCCAAACAGTATTGACATAGGCTACTGACACAGTAGATAAGGTTGCAACCAGCACCACCTTCTGTGAATTAGTGGTCATTGCAGTGATGTTGATATGGCTTGTTTCTTCCCAGGCTTTTGTCAATGCTCAGAACCAGCTGACACTGCCCTACCTGGAGCGCTGTGAGGTGCGGGAGCTGTTCAAGGAGCGCATGACGGAGCTCTATGACTACCCCAAATACAGCTGCCCCTTCAAGAGGGGGAGTAGGTGAGAGAGAGAGAGCGAGAGAGAGAAGGGCTGGGGTTGGGTCAAGGTTAGCCAGCAGATCCGACCCGCTTCCTTACAGCTGCACTAGGGTCAGACAGCCTTCCTTTGTAAATTAAGGAACTGCAGAGCCAGCGCGAGATGTGGCTCGGAAAATGTCCCTCAATCCAGGGATGAGAAATGTATTGTGCTCCGCATTTTCCCATTATCCCAACTGCTACACTGAGAAGATTGAACGTCTGCTAGTTTTCCGGAAAACTGTCATTTTCGTCCTCATGCTAGGTAGCAGAAGCCACAGCAGCCATTCCAACCCTAGTGCAGCTGGTCATGTTCATTAGGGCATGTAACACATTTTTTTTTTTACATTCTGCAACAGGAAAATGAGGATTTCTTATTGGACAACTCCAGAGGTTTATTCAGTAGAAACCCAACAGAAGCAAACAATCAAATCTGCTTCTAAATGTTTTCCGTTAAGAAAAATGATGAATACACCCCAAGTAGGCCCTCCCCGTTTGGTTCCTTGTGAGGGGGCTTTCACACCAAATTGGTTTGGTGCGTCTTTTCCGAACTCTGGTGCGTTTACCCCCTTATTTTGCTTCGATTGGACTGGTGTGAACACTGCACTCGGGAGCGCACTAAACAATGCACCGTGATTCGCTCACAAAGGGTAGTCTCGGTCCGATTCAATTCGTACCGTGGTGCGGTTCGCTGCAGGTGAGAATGCAGTCCGGACCAAACAGAGAAATAACCAGAGTCGCGCATCATTATTGGTTGTTTGACTGCGAACATTTGATGAAATGCGCACAGCATCATAACGTGAGATCTCTGAAACATTCTGAAAGCAGCAGCGCATCCTATGCAGATTAGGGGAGATGGGGGCTATACCGGGGATATAGGCTATTGACTATAGCCTATTCACGTCGCAGTTAGAGCGTCTATTGCGCTGTTTCCTCCCGCATGTTGTTGGAAGATCAAAGCGAAAGTAATTGATAATCATGAATGGATTTAACTTGATCAATTTTGCCCAAGAAACAAAATATAATAATAATAATATAATATGCCATTTAGCAGATGCTTTTATCCAAAGCGACTTAGTCATGTGTGCATACATTTGACTTGCATGGACATGTGGTTTTGTTTCGGAATTTTTGTTAGTTTGACATTTTGGCGATGTGAAGCCAACTGAACTAAATATAAATAATACAAAGTAACAAATAGTCGAACTCTGATTCGGACTGTAGCTCAAAACTGTGTGAAAACGCCTTAAGAGGTTCAGGGGGACTTGTCTCTTGGAATACTGGATAGTGCAGTTCCATTGGTGTCAGGCTCACATTCTTGTTCCCCTCTGCAGGTATTTCCACTTCTACAACACAGGTCTCCAGAACCAGAGTGTGATGTATGTTCAGGAGAGCCTGGAGGCAGAGCCCACAGTCTTTCTGGACCCAAACACTTTCTCTGAGGACGGGACTGTCGCTTTACAAGGTGGGGGACTGAAATGTGTTCAAACAATATTATTGACAATACTATACAGATGGCCATTGTCTTCATTATATGTTCTCTCTATTAACAATCAATGCGTGGCGCTGACATTACACTATGTAGTCTAGCCGGGCATGCAAGGCTATATGATGTGTATATACAGTGCCTTCAGAAAGTATTCACACCCCTTGACTTTTTCCACATTTTGTTGTGCTACAGCCTGAATTTAAAATGGATTCATTTGAGATTTGTCACTGGCCTACACACAATACCCCATAATGTCAAAGTGGAATTATGTTTTTTGAAAGTTGAGCAGTGAATTTCAAACAGAGATTCAACCACAAAGACCAGGGATGTTCTCCAATGCCTCACAAAGAAGGGCACCGATTGGTAGATGTGTAAAAAAAATTAAACGAAAAACAGACATTGAATATCCCTTTGAGCATGGTGAAATTATTAATTACACTTTGGATGGTGTATCAATACACCCAGTCACTACAAAGATACAGGCGTCCTGCCTAACTCGGTTGTAGAGAGGAAGGAAACTGCTCAGGGATTTCACCGTGAGGCCAATGGTGACACACGGCTATTTCAACCACACCCATTGCTGACAGGTGTATAAAATCGAGCACACCGCCATGCAATCTCCATAGACAAACATTGGCAGTAGAATGGCCCGTACTGAAGAGCTCCAAATCATGTCCAATCAGTTGAATATACCACAGGTGGACTTCAATCAAGTTGTAGAAACATGTCAAGGATAATTAATGGAAACAGGATGCACCTGGTAAGGTATTTCTGTTTTTTATTTTTAATACATTAGCAAAAATGTCTAAACCTGTTTTCACTTCGTCATTATGGGGTATTGTGTGTAGATTGGTGAGGAAAAACATTTATTTAATCTGCACAGGATCGGTACCGCCGAACATCACCGCCGAACAACCTGTCATTGCAGACAGGTACAGGATGGCAACAACAACTGCCCGAGTTACTCCATTTGACATTTTTACATTTACACCAGGAACGCACAATCCCTCCATCAGTGGCCAGACTGTCCGCAATAGGCTGAGAGAGGCTGGACTGAGGGCTTGTAGGCCTGTTGTAAGGCAGGTCCTCACCAGACATCACCGGCAACAACGTCGCCTATGGGCACAAGCCCACCGTCGCTGGACCAGACAGGACTGGCAAAAAGTGCTCTTCACTGACGAGTCGCAGTTTTGTCTCACCAGGGGTGATGGTTGTATTCGCGTTTATCGTCGAAGGAATGAGCGTTACACCGAGGCCTGTACTCTGGACCGGGATCGATTTGGAGGTGGAGGGTCCATCATGGTCTGGGGCGGTGTGTCACAGCATCATCGGACTAAGCTTGTTGTCATTGCAGGCAATCTCAACGCTGTGCATTACAGGGAAGACATCCTCCTCCCTCATGTGGTACCCTTCCTGCAGGCTCATCCTGACATGACCCTCCAGCATGACAATGCCACCAGCCATACTGTTCGTTCTGTGCGTGATTTCCTGCAAGAAAGGAATGTCCGTGTTCTGCCATGGCCAGCGACGAGCCCGGATCTCAATCCCATTGAGCACGTCTGGGACCTGTTGGATCGAAGGGTGAGGGCTAGGGCCATACCCCCCCAGAAATGTCTGGGAACTTGCAGGTACCTTGGTGGAAGAGTGGGGTAACATCTCACAGCAAGAACTGGCAAATCTGGTGCCGTCCATGAGGAGGAGATGAACTGCAGTACTTAATGCAGCTGGTGGCCACACCAGAAATTGACTTTTGATTTTGACCCCCCCCCCCCTTTGTTCAGGGACACATTATTCAATTTATGTTAGTCACGTGTCTGTGGAACTTGTTCAGTTTATGTCTGTTGAATTTTATGTTCATACAAATATTTACACATGTTAAGTTTGCTGAAAATATATGCAGTTGACAGTGAGAGGACGTTTCTTTTTTTGCTGAGTTTTGTTTTGTTCAGTAAACTTGCGGGTCCAAATAAAATCACCTTTGGGCAAAATTCGGGCCGCGGACCACCAGTCGGGGAATCCTGGCATAGGCTAACTCATTTGCCCCTGCTCTCCGCTGTCTCCTTATGTCTTCACTATAGAAGTGTTTTCAATAACTTCCTTGTTTTAAATCAAGTTCTGTCGATCTCCTCAGGCTATGCGTTCTCGGAGGACGGCGAATACCTGGCGTATGGCACCAGCGCCAGCGGCTCGGACTGGGTGGAGATGCGCTTCCTGCGGGTGGAGGGGGCCGTGGCCCTCAAGGACAAACTAGAGAGGGTTAAGTTCAGCTGCATGTCCTGGACCCACGATGGCAAGGGCCTCTTCTACAACTCCTACCCTAAGCAGGAGGGCAAGAGCGACGGTGAGCATCCTTGATACGTAGATACACACTGAACAAAAATATAAACGCAACATGTAAAGTGTGGGTCCCATGTTTCATGAGCTGAAATAAAAGATCCCAGAAATGTTCCATACTCTCAAAAAGCTTATCTCAAATTTTGTGCACATTTGTTTACGTCCCTGTTAGTGAGCATTTATCCTTTGCCAAGGTAATCCATCCACCTGACAGGCGTGGCATATCAAGAAGCTGATTAAACAGCATGATCATTACACAGGTGTACCTTGTGCTGGGAACAATAAAGGGCCACTCTAAAATGTGGGAGCATGCAACTGGCATGCTGACTGCAGGAATGTCCACCAGAGCTGTTGCCAGAGAATGTAATCTTAATTTCTCTACCATAAACCGCCTCCAACGTCATTTTAATGAGTTTGGCAGTACGTCCAACCGACGTCACAATCGCAGACCACGTGTATGGCGTTGTGTGGGCGAGCGGTTTGCTGATGTTAAAGTTGTGAACAGAGTACCCCATGGTGGCGGTGGGGTTATGGTATGGGCAGGCATAAGCTACTGACAACGAACACAGTTGCATTTTATCGATGGCAATTTGAATGCACGAGATCCTGAGGCTCATTGTCGTGCCATTCATCCGCCGCCATCACATCATGTTTCAGCATGATAATGACTAAAATGTAAATGTAATAATGCACAGCCCATGTCGCAAGGCTCTGTACACAATTCCTGGAAGCTGAAAATGTCCCAGTTTTTCCTTTGGCTGCATACTCCGCAGACATGTCACCCATTGAGCATGTTTTGCTCTGGATCGAAGTGTACGACAGCGTGTTTCAGTTCCAGCCAATATCCAGCAACTTTGCACAGCCATTGAAGAGGAGTGGGACAACATTCCACAGGCCACAATCAACAGCCTGATCAACTCTTTGCGAAGGAGATGTCACGCTGCATGAAGTAAATGGTGGTTACACCAGATATTAACTGGTTTTCTGATCCATGCCCCTACCTTAAAATGTATTTAATTTTTTTATCTGTGAACAACAGATGCATATCTGTATTCCCAGTCGTGATTAGGGCCTAATTTATTTATTTCAATTGACTGATTTCCTTACATGAACTGTAACTCAGTAAAATTGGAAATTGTTGCATGTTTTTTTTTTTTTTTGTTCAGTATAATATGTTAGGTTCTTCACATCGCCACAAGGGGTACATTAACACCTCTGTCTCTCTCTCCTCATCCTCTAGGCACTGAGACGTCCACCAACCTGCACCAGAAGCTCTACTTTCACGTGTTGGGGACCCCCCAGTCCCAGGACTGCCTGTGTGCGGAGTTCTCCGACCACCCCAAGTGGATGAGCGGTGTCGAGGTAGGATGGAGTCACTATTACTAAACGCTCCCCAACAGACAGGTGGGTGCTTGACTTGCTATATCTAGCAAACTGTTTTAACACAGCCATGGTTCTAAGCTTAAATAGGCACTCAAGCAGAAATAACATTATTTGAGTAGTAATGTCGTAATCTTTAATGTAAGTAATATTTTCTGTTCACTTAGCATCCACACCAATCCTGTTCCCCTCTACACTCACGAGGAGAGACAGTTTTGCTATGTAACAATTTCTCTGATACTTTATTTGGGTTAGGGTTAGCGGCAGAGTGTTGTGGTCAGAGTGCTTGACCAGTGTCGCTCTCTCCAGGTGTCCGATGACGGGCGCTACGTGCTGCTGTCCATCAGGGAGGGCTGTGACCCGGTCAACCGGCTGTGGTACTGCGACCTCCAAACCACTCCTCAGGGCATCACAGGTACCCCTAACATTCATAATCAATTATTGTAATAACAGGTACCCCTCGCCCAAAACGATGAAAGGTCACTGGTTCTGCTGTAGCTTCCTGAAATCAAGTAAAAAATAAAATAAAACATTTCACAGTAAAATAACAATAACGAGGCTATATACAGGCGGTACCGAGCCAATGTGCGGGGGTACAGGTTAGTCGAGGTAATTTGTACAAGTTGGATAGGGTATTAAAGTGACTGCATTTGACATGCTGGTAGAAATTAGGTGAAAATTGACATTTAATGACTTTGTGGGGGGTTTCTTTGACTGTTATTTCCAGCGTTATCCATTGGGTTTGCTGCAGGCAGGAAATCCTAGGAAATGCTCTTTAATTGACACAAGCTGTCTCCAATCATTAAATGTGTACTTTTACATGAATGTTTAGTGGGGGGGAACACCTAAACCAGGGGAGGCATAGCATACGAATCTTAATTGCACAAAACCTATTATTTGGCAGGGAATACTATTTGTAGAGCAGTGATTCTACACCTCGCTTTGCTCAAGCTGATCCTCTCCAAAAGACTCAATCCTTGATCATCGGAGGTTATATACAGTGGGGGAAAATAGTATTTAGTCAGCCACCAATTGTGCAAGTTCTCCCACTTAGAAAGATGAGAGAGGCCTGTAATTTTCATCATAGGTACACGTCAACTATGACAGACAAACTGAGAATTTTTTCCAGAAAATCACATTGTAGGATTTTTTATGAATTTATTTGCAAATTATGGTGGAAAATAAGTATTTGGTCAATAACAAAAGTTTCTCAATACTTTATTATATACCCTTTGTTGGCAATGACACAGGTCAAACGTTTTCTGTAAGTCTTCACAAGGTTTTCACACACTGTTGCTGGTATTTTGGCCCATTCCTCCATGCAGATCTCCTCTAGAGCAGTGATGTTTTGGGGCTGTCGCTGGGCAACACGGACTTTCAACTCCCTCCAAAGATTTTCTATGGGGTTGAGATCTGGAGACTGGCTAGGCCACTCCAGGACCTTGAAATGCTTCTTACGAAGCCACTCCTTCGTTGCCCGGGCGGTGTGTTTGGGATCATTGTCATGCTGAAAGACCCAGCCACGTTTAATCTTCAATGCCCTTGCTGATGGAAGGAGGTTTTCACTCAAAATCTCACGATACATGGCCCCATTCATTCTTTCCTTTACACGGATCAGTCGTCCTGGTCCCTTTGCAGAAAAACAGCCCCAAAGCATGATGTTTCCACCCCCATGCTTCACAGTAGGTATGGTGTTCTTTGGATGCAACTCAGCATTCTTTGTCCTCCAAACACGACGAGTTGAGTTTTTACCAAAAAGTTATATTTTGGTTTCATCTGACCATATGACATTCTCCCAATCCTCTTCTGGATCATCCAAATGCACTCTAGCAAACTTCAGACGGGCCTGGACATGTACTGGCTTAAGCAGGGGGACACGTCTGGCACTGCAGGATTTGAGTCACTGGCGGCGTAGTGTGTTACTGATGGTAGGCTTTGTTACTTTGGTCCCAGCTCTCTGCAGGTCATTCACTAGGTCCCCCGTGTGGTTCTGGGATTTTTGCTCACCGTTCTTGTGATCATTTTGACCCCACGGGGTGAGATCTTGCGTGGAGCCCCAGATCGAGGGAGATTATCAGTGGTCTTGTATGTCTTCCATTTCCTAATAATTGCTCCCACAGTTGATTTCTTCAAACCAAGCTGCTTACCTATTGCAGATTCAGTCTTCCCAGCCAGGGGCAGGTCTACAATTTTGTTTCTGGTGTCCTTTGACAGCTCTTTGGTCTTGGCCATAGTGGAGTTTGGAGTGTGACTGTTTGAGGTTGTGGACAGGTGTCTTTTATACTGATAACAAGTTCAAACAGGTGCCATTAATACAGGTAATGAGTGGAGGACAGAGGAGCCTCTTAAAGAAGAAGTTACAGGTCTGTGAGAGCCAGAAATCTTGCTTGTTTGTAGGTGACCAAATACTTATTTTCCACCATAAGTTGCAAATAAATTCATAAAATATCTTACAATGTGATTTTCTGGATTTTTTTTCTCCTCAATTTGTCTGTCATAGTTGACGTGTACCTATGATGAAAAGTACAGGCCTCTCTCATCTTTTTACGTGGGAGAACTTGCACAATTGGTGGCTGACTAAATACTTTTTTTTCCCCACTGTAAATGGGGCAATTAGGACAGTTAAAGTGGAGAGACTATGAATCCAAAGAGAAAATATTTTAAATTCAATCACTATCGCTTGAAAAAAAGAGCGTGTCAATACCCCACTGGGACTCTTTGCAGACAACAATATATTCTGCAAAACCTGCAATTTAGCTTTAGATTATGAATGGAAAGACAGGATAGACAGCCATCTGAAATCAAATTAAAACACATTACACTGTTCAGAAGAATGCTTCTTCTTTAGAAGGTTGTGGAGGATATAGCGAAACACTCATCCTTACATAACAAGACAATATCAATCAACTAAAATATTTCACAACGTATTCCTTGTCTGTTTTTAACATAAGGGTATGATCAGGGCACCAGACTTTGTTTGAAAGTGCGGGTGAGAACACTTTTTTGGGCGTTGTTGTTTGAAGTATTTTTTAATTAACTTGTCTCAGCAGCATACATATTTGATGCAAAGAGGCTAGAAATAGCTTATTTGGTCGATATTACTTAACATTTACATTTACATCATTTAGCAGTTGCTCTTATCCAGAGCGACTTACAAATTGGTGCCTTCAACTTATGATAGCCAGTGGGACAACCACTTTAAAAAAAAAAAAAATTGTGGGGGAAGAAGGATTACTTGATACAATTCCAGGTATTCCTTAAAGAGGTAGGGTTTCAAGTGTCTCCGGAAGGTGGTCAGTGACTCCGCTGTCCTGGCGTCGTGGGGGAGCTTGTTCCACCATTGGGAATAGCTTTGACTGGGCTGAGCGGGAACTGTGCTTCCGTAGAGATAGGGGAGCTAGCAGGCCAGAGGTGGATGAACGTAGTGCCCTCGTTTGGGTGTAGGGTCTGATCAGAGCCTGAAGGTAAGGAGGTGCCGTTCCCCTCACAGCTCCGTAGGCAAGCACCATGGTCTTGTAGTAGATGCAAGCCTCAATTGGAAGCCAGTGGAGTGTGCGGAGGAGCGGGGTAACATGAGAGAACTTGGGAGGTTGAACACCAGACGGGCTGCAGCGTTCTGGATAACTTGTAGGGGTTTAATGGCACAGGCAGGGAGCCCAGCCAACAGCGAGTTGCAGTAATCCAGACTGGAGATGACAAGTGCCTGGATTAGGACCTGTGCCGCTTTCTGTGTAAGGTAGGGTCGTACTCTGCAAATGTTGTAGAGCATGATCCTGCAGGATCGGGTCACCGCTTTGATGTTAGCGGAGAACGACAGGGTGTTGTCCAGGGTCACAAGCCAAGCAGACAGACCCGGCGCCAGGATAGGCCTAAAGTGACTAAGAGGGCAGTTTTAAATTGGTGAGGGGGCAAAATTCTTGCATTGGGATTATATTGAATTATTCTTATATGCCGCTATACCACAATAAACAAAGAGACTCCGAGGCCATTGAGTGCTTTTGAAGTGACAGGTTGGCGCAAAATCTGCAGCCAATCTGCGCTGTATCAGCACAATGGACAGCGCCTCACACACTAAAGCAAGGCTGTTTTGGCAATGAATATATGCTACAAGATAGGCTGTTTGTAATAGGTGAATTACCCTATGTGAATGCAGCCGTACACACAGCTGTCTTACAACAATGCAAACTAAACGCTGAAAGTACAGTGTATTCTGACTTTTTCCACATTTTGTTACGTTACAGACTCCTCAATCTACACACAATACCCCATAATGACAAAGTGAAAACAGGTTTTTAGAAATGGAGTGTCTTCGGAACAAGTCTCAATGTCCTTGAACCCGATCGAACATCGCTGGAGAGACCTGAAAATGGCTGTGCAGCGATGCTCCCCATCCAACCTGACAGAGCTTGAGAGGATCTGCAAAGAATGGGAGAAACTCCCTAAATACAGGTGTCAAGCTTGTAGCGTCATATTCAAGAAGAGTCGAGGCTATAAACGCTGCCAAAGGTGCTTCAACAAAGTACTGAGTAAAGGGTCTGAATCCTTGTGTAAATTAGATATTTCCGTTTTAATTTTTAATACATTTGCAAAAATTTCTAAAAACCTGTTTTTGCTTTGTCATTATGGGGTATTGTGTTAGATTGATGTAAAAAAATATATATATATATTTTATCAATTCCACAAAATGTGGGAAAAGTCAAGGAGTCTGAATACTTTCCGAATGCACTGAACACAAATATAAATGCTACATGCAACAATTTCATTGATTTTACTTAGTTACAGTTTGTATTAATTAATCAGTCAATTTAAATACATTCGTTAGGCCATAACCTATGGATTTCCCTGTTACTGAGCATTTCTCTTTTGCCAAAATAACCCATCCACCTGACAGGTGTGGCATATCAAGAATCTGAGTAAACAGAATGGTAATTACACAGGTGCACCTTGTGCTGGGTACAAAAAGCCACTCTAAAATACCACAATGCCACAGATGTGTCAAGTTTTGAGGGAGTGTGCAATTGGCATGTTGACTGCAGGAATGTCCACTAGAGCTGTTGCCAGATAATGTAATGTTCATTTCTCTACCATAAGCCGCCTCCAACGTCGTTTTAGAGAATTTGGCAGTACGTCCAAGAAGTAACAGGTTGGCGCGAAATCTTTGCTGCGCTCCATCAGCACCATGGACGGCACCCTACACACTAAGCATGGCCATTTTGGCAGTTAAAATATTGGCTAGCTAAAAAAGTATTTTTGCTATTCCATACTCTAGGTTTTTGCTGAAAATGATTCCACTGGTTATACCACCAATATTTTGATCAAAACCAACCAGCTACAGTCGTGGTCAAAAGTTTTGAGAATGTAAGTATTGGTCTTCACAAAGTTTGCTGCTTCAGTGTTTTTAGAATTTTTTTTGTCAGATGTTACTATGGTATACTGAAGTATAATTACAAGCATTCCATAAGTGTCAAAGGCTTTTACTGACAATTACATGAAGTTTATGCAACGACTCAATATTTGCAGTGTTGACCCTTCTTTTTCAAGACCTCTGCAATTAACTTCTGGGCCACATCCTGACTGATGGCAGCCCATTCTTGCATAATCAATGCTTGGAGTTTGTTAGAATTTGTGGGTGTTTGTTTGTCCACCCGCCTCATGAGGATTGACCACAAATTCTCACTGGGATTAACGTCTGGGGAGTTTCCTGGCCATGGACCAAAAACATATGTTTTGTTCCCCGAGCCACTTATTTATCACTTTTGCCTTATGGCAAGGTGCTCCATCATGCTGAAAAAGGCAAAGAACTAAACTGTTCTCTGATGGTTGGGAGAAGTTGCTCTCGGAGGATGTGTTGGTACCATTCTTTATTCATGGCTGTGTTCTTAGGCAAAATTGTGAGTGAGCCCACTCCCTTGGCTGAGAAGCAACCCCACACATTAATGGTCTCAGAATGCTTTACTGTTGGCATGACACAAGACTGATGGTAGCGCTCACCTTGTCTTCTCCGGGCAAGCTTTTTTCCAGATGCCCCAAACAATCGGAAAGGGGATTCATCAGAGAAAATGACTTTACCCCAGTCCTCAGCAGTCCAATCCCTGTACCCTTTGCAGAATATCAGTCTGTCCCTGATGTTTTTCCTGGGGAGAAGTGGCTTCCTCGCTGCCCTTCTTGACACCAGCCCATCCTCCAAAAGTCTTCGCCTCACTGTGCCTGCTGCCATTCCTGAGCAAGCTCTGCACTGCTGGTGCCCTGATTCCGCAGCTGAATCAACTTTAGGAGACGGTCCTGGCGCTTGCTGGACTTTCTTGGGCACCCTGAAGCCTTCTTCACAACAATTGAACCTCTCTCCTTGAAGTTCTTGATGATAAATGGTTGATTTTAGGTGCAATCTTACTTGCAGCAATATCCTTGCCTGTGAAGCCCTTTTTTGTGCAAAGCAATGATGACGGCACATGTTTCCTTGCAGGTAACCATGGTTAACAGAGGAAGAATAATGATTTCAAGCACCATCCTCCTTTTAAAGCTTCCAGTCTGTTATTCTAACTCAATCGGCATGACAGAGTGATCTCCAGCCTTGTCCTCGTCAACACTCTCACCTGTGTTAACGAGAGAATCACTGACATGATGTCAGCTGGTCCTTTTGTGGCATGGCTGAAATGCATTTTTGGGATTAAGTTCATTTTCATGGCAAAGAGGGATTTTGCAATTAATTGCAATTCATCTGATCACTCTTCATAACATTCTGGAGTATATGCAAATTGCCATCATAAAAACTGAGGCAGCAGACTTTGTGAAAATTTATATTTGTGTCATTCTCAAAACTTTTGACCACAACTGTAGATTGTTTCTTACCTTTTCAGAAGAGTTGCAGCCTCCTTGATGCTCTGTTGAACTTCCTGATTAATCGATCAATCCATTCTCCGCAAAATCTTCTTGAACAATCCCCCTCAAATGCCAGTTGGATTAGTTGAGCTTTCCTTTGGCGTGGCATGCTTCGTCTGTTCTGACTGAGCACTTTTGTCAAAGTGCAAAATGAGTTCTTGCCAGCTGCCTATTGTTAACAAGTGTTGACACCTCAGTTCCCATAGCACTTCGAAATGGTTTTTCTTTCTGTAGTGCATTTCAAATGCTCCTTGCTTGATGCGTGCCTAGCGAATCCTATGGTTCTATCCAGTTAGAATCTTCCAGTTAGAATACCGACCTTGGGTGAAGGCCTTAGCTGCGTTAGCGTTGGACACAATACAGAACTTTTGACATAGGAATCAAAATGCCGCATCTGCAGTAACCGAGTATTCCAGCCACTCTCTTCCTATGAACCAGTTGCTATTAAATTAACGTTTTTGGACAGAACCTGTGGCTATGGTAGGCTAACCTGGGCTGGCTCCTCTCTTCCAAGATCGTCAAGAACAGTCTGAGGTGGAGGGTGCTGTGGAGCCATTATCCTGGTGGCACTTGTGGAAGGGGGGGGGTAGGCTCTTCACGCGGAGCTAGCTGGAGCTCGGGCAGCAGCATCATTGCTGGGCTTGGCGGCAGCCTCTTTGGTTTGATTTCTGATATCCATCGTGGCAGATATAGGCAAATAACACTTAATGCCTTTTACAGCTAGCTAAGAAGCTAACTAAACTCTGGAGTGGTGGGGCGAGAGGCAGAGTTGAGTGAAGCAGCTTAAACTGAACTTGACCTTATTAATCAAAATCAAATAGGCCTGTTACAGGTGGAGGCGTATCACGTTATTCACGGAGCCTACCAAAGATGTGCAGCTATTTTTCCCGCTTTTTATGGAAACCCAAAGGAGTCATACCTAACCACCCAGTGGCTTTCCGTAGCCCCCCTACATGCAAACACACACATCTCACAGCGCTGATCCAGCGCAGCGGCGATACAGATTTCGCGCCAACCTGTCACTCAATCATTTAAACTTTTTTATATAGGGACATAAAACTAAAACAGGTGGCACAAGTTTCAACTGAGGTGGCTAAGCCCCTCGTGGAGCTGTGCCCGCAAACAGAGCTGTTTTATGGAGATACAAATATATCATGTGCTTTCTCATTTGGTGCATACAGTGGGGAGAACAAGTATTTGATACACTGCCGATTTTGCAGGTTTTCCTACTTACAAAGCTTGTAGAGGTCTGTAATTTTTATCATACAGTGGGGAAAAAAAGTATTTAGTCAGCCACCAATTGTGTAAGTTCTCCCACTTAAAAAGATGAGAGAGGCCTGTAATTTTCATCATAGGTACACGTCAACTATGACAGACAAAATTAGAAAAAAAAATCCAAAAATCACATTGTAGGATTTTTAATGAATTTATTTGCAAATTATGGTGGAAAATAAGTATTTGGTCAATAACAAAAGTTTCTCAATACTTTGTTATTTACCCTTTGTTGGCAATGACACAGGTCAAACGTTTTCTGTAAGTCTTCACAAGGTTTTCACACACTGTTGCTAGTATTTTGGCCCATTCCTCCATGCAGATCTCCTCTAGAGCAGTGATGTTTTGGGGCTGTCGCTGGGCAACACAGACTTTCAACTCCCTCCAAAGATTTTCTATGGGGTTGAGATCTGGAGACTGGCTAGGCCACTCCAGGACCTTGAAATGCTTCTTACGAAGCCACTCCTTCGTTGCCCGGGCGGTGTGTTTGGGATCATTGTCATGCTGAAAGACCCAGCCACGTTTAATCTTCAATGCCCTTGCTGATGGAAGGAGGTTTTCACTCAAAATCTCACGATACATGGCCCCATTCATTCTTTCCTTTACACCAGGGGTGTCAAACTCATTCCATGGAGGGCCTAGTGTCTGCAGGTTTTTGGTTTTTCCTTTCAATTAAGCCCTAGACAACCAGGTGTGGGGAGTTCTTTACTAATTAGTGACCTTAATTCATCAATCAAGGACAAGGGAGGAGTGAAAACCCGCAGCCACTAGGCCCTCCGTGGAATGAGTTTGACACATGTGCTTTACACGGATCAGTCGTCCTGGTCCCTTTGCAGAAAAACAGCCCCAAAGCATGATGTTTCCACCCCCATGCTTCACAGTAGGTATGGTGTTATTTGGAGGCAACTCAGCATTCTTTGTCCTCCAAACACGACGAGTTGAGTTTTTACCAAAAAGTTCTATTTTGGTTTCTTCTGACCATATGACATTCTCCCAATCCTCTTCTGAATCATCCAAATGCACTCTAGCAAACTTCAGACGGGCCTGGACATGTACTGGCTTAAGCAGGGGGACACTTCTGGCACTGTAGGATTTGAGTCCCTGGCGGCGTAGTGTGTTACTGATGGTAGGCTTTGTTACTTTGGTCCCAGCTATCTGCAGGTCATTCACTAGGTCCCCCCGTGTGGTTCTGGGATTTTTGCTCACCGTTCTTGTGATCATTTTGACCCCACGGGGTGAGATCTTGCGTGGAGCCCCAGATCGAGGGAGATTATCAGTGGTCTTGTATGTCTTCCATTTCCTAATAATTGCTCCCACAGTTGATTTCTTCAAACCAAGCTGCTTACCTATTGCAGATTCAGTCTTCCCAGCCTGGTGCAGGTCTACAATTTTGTTTCTGGTGTCCTTTGACAGCTCTTTGGTCTTGGCCATAGTGGAGTTTGGAGTGTGACTGTTTGAGGTTGTAGACAGGTGTCTTTTATACTGATAACAAGTTCAAACAGGTGCCATTAATACAGGTAACGAGTGGAGGACAGAGGAGCCTCTTAAAGAAGAAGTTACAGGTCTGTGAGAGCCAGAAATCTTGCTTGTTTGTAGGTGACCAAATACTTATTTTCCACCATAATTTGCAAATAAATTCATAAAAAATCCTACAATGTGATTTTCTGGAGGAAAAAAATCTCAATTTGTCTGTCATAGTTGACGTGGACCTATGATGAAAATTACAGGCCTCTTTCATCTTTTTAAGTGGGAGAACTTGCACAATTGGTGGCTGACTAAATACTTTTTTTCCCCACTGTAGGTACACTTCAACTGTGAGAGACAGAATCTAAAACAAAAATCCAGAAAATCACGTATGATTTTTAAGTAATTCATTTGCATTTTATTGCATGACATAAGTACTTGATACATCAGAAAAGCAGAACTTAATATTTGGTACAGAAACCTTTGTTTGAAATTACAGAGATCATAAGTATTTGGTCACCTACAAACAAGTTTTGCCATCTTGGCCATAGAAATAAAATCACTTGGTCCAGCCTTTTTTTATTTTGAGCTCAATGGGAAACCTGGTAAAATAGACAAAATCCACACATAAGCAGATGTTTTGATTGGCCCTCTGTGTGCAACGCATTACATCACTCATTGTATCCCCTTTATCTCTCTCTCCCCTCCAGGCCTGTTGCCGTGGGTGAAGCTGATAGACAACTTTGATGCGGAGTACGAGTACGTGACCAACGAGGGCACGGTTTTCACCTTCAAGACCAACCTGGAGGCCCCGCGCTACCGCCTCATCAACATCAACTTCGCTCAGCCCGCCCAGGCCAACTGGAAGGAGCTTATTCCCCAGCACGACAAGGACGTCATCGGTAGGTCACAGACAGAATGAAAAGAGAGTTTTACGCGCATTATATGTACACTTTATACAGGAGCTAGACAAAAATATCAACTAAAGTGGAAAAAGTCATTTCCACCCACTGCATGCTGCTCCCAACAAGTGATCTTTAAAAGGCAACCTAATCAAGATATTTTAGCCTCTTTGGGTCGCTTAAAGAGGTATTGTTCAGCCATAAACCGAGAGGAAGTTGTGTATCTCTTTACTGGAATTGTTGTATGTTTTTCAGAATCCGTTAAACATTTAATTGAATTTGTATGGCCTAAAGGTGATTATAGATGCAGTTCATTCGGAAAGTATTCAGACCCCTTGACTTTATCCACAGTTTAAGTTACAGCCTTATTCTAAAATGGATTAAATACAAATTTTCCGACATCAATCTACACACAATATCACAATGTCAAAGCGAAAAGAGGTTTTTAGAAATTTTTGCAAATGTATTAAAAATAAAAACCGATACCTTATCTACATAAGTATTCAGACATTTGCTATCAGACTCGAAATTGAGGTCAGGTGCATCCTGTTTCCATTGATCATCCTTGATGTTTCTACAACTTGATTGGAGTCCACCTGTGGTAAATTCAATTGATTGGACATGATTTGGAAAGGCACACACCTGTCTATATGAGGTCCCACTATTGACAGTGCATGTCAGAGCAAAAACCAAGCCATGAGGTCGAAGGAATTGTCTGTATAGCTCCGAGACAGGATCGCGTCAAGGAAAAGACCTGGGGAAGGGTACCAAAAAACCTCTGCAGCATTGAAGGTCCCCAAGAACACAGTGGCCTCCGTCATTCTTAAATGGAAGAAGCTTGGAACCACCAAGACTCTTCCTAGAGCTGGCCGTCCGGCCAAAGTGAGCAATCGGGTGAGAAGGGCCTTGGTCAGGGAGGTGACCAAGAACTCGATGGCACTCTGACAGAGCTCCAGAATTTCTCTATGGAAATGGGAGAACCTTCCATAAGGACAACCATCTCTGCAGCACTCCACCAATCAGCCCTTTATGGTAGAGTGGCCAGACGGAAGCCACTCCTCAGTAAAAGGCACATGACCGCACACTTGGAGTTTGCCAAAAGGCACCTAAAGGGTGCCCCCCGAGTGGTGCAGCGGTCTAAGGCACTGCATCGCAGTGCTTGAGGCGTCACTACAGATCCAGGTTCGATCACCAGGCTGTGTCGCAGCCGGCCGCGACCGGGAGACCCATGAGGCGGCGCACAATTGGCCCAGCGTCGTCCGGGTTAGGGGAGAGTTTGGTTGGCAGGGATGTCCTTGTCCCATCGCGCTCTAGCGACTCCTTGTGGTGGGCCGGGCGAATGCACGCTGACTCCGGTCGCCAGTTGTACAGTGTTTCCTCCGGCTGACTTCCGGGTTAAGCGGGCAGTGTGTCAAGAAGCAGTGCGGATTGGCAGGGTCGTGTTTCGGAGGGTGCATGGCTCTCGCCTTTCGCCTCTCCCGAGTCCGTACAGGAGTTGCAGCGATGGGACAAGACTACCTACCAATTGGATATCACGAAAAAGGGGTACAAAAATAAAATTTTAAAAAAGGCACCTAAAGAACTCTCAGCCCATGAGAAACAAGGTTCTCTAGTCTGATGAAACAAGGATTGAACTCTTTGGCCTGAATGCCATGCGTCACGTCTGGAGGAAACCAGGCACCGCTCATCACCTGGTCAATACCATCCCTACGGTGTAGCATGGTGGTGGCAGCATCATGCTGTGGGGATGTTTTTCAGCGACAGGGACTGGGAGACTAGTCAGGATCGAGGGAAAGATTAACTGCGCAAAGTACAGAGATCCTTGATGAAAACCTGCTACAGAGTGCTCAGGCCCTCAGACTGGGGCGAAGGTTCACCTTCCAACAGAACAACGACATTAAGCACACAGCCAAGACAACGCAGGAGTAGCTTAGGGACAAATCTCAATGTCATTGAGTGGCCCAGCCAAAGCCCGGATTTAAACCTGATCGAACATCTCTGGAGAGACCCGAAATGTAGCTGTGCAGCGACGCTCCCCATCCATCCTGACAGCACTTGAGAGGATCTGCAGAGAAGAATGGGAGAAACTCCCCAAATACAGGTGTGCCAAGCTTGAGGCATCATACCCAAGAAGACTCGAGGCTGTAATCGCTGCCAAAGGTGCTTCAACAAAGTACTGGGTAAAGGGTCTGAATACTTATATAAATGTGATATTTCCGTTTTTTTATTTGTAATAAATTTGCAAAGATTTATAAAAACCTGTTTTTGCTTCGTCTTTATGGGGTATTGTCTGTAGATTGAGGAAAAAAACAATTTTAATCAATTTTAGAATAAGGCTGCATCAAAATGTGAAAAAAGTCAAGGGGTCTGAATATTTTCCGAATGCACTGTAAATGTGCCCATTTGGGGATCTGATAGTATTTCTGATTGGCTTAACGCATCACCACTAATGAGCGGTTTAGCTTCTCAAAGTAATGTTTTCTTCACCTCAAACAGCAAGCAAACAAAGTCTGTTTTTACATCCGTTGAGAATGACAATAGTTCCTCAATGTATTTGAAAAATCTTTCCAACTCTCTCCCTTTCGATAACCACTCGGCGTGATAGGAAAAATGTAATACTCTGATCCAGTGGAAATTTGATAAAATCGGCCTGCCTGATTACTTGACTTGGACTGAAATAGGTTATGGTACTCATTTTGGGTGCTGGTACTGTTTATATTTAGGTGCAGGAGCTCCACAATACTTTTGATTCAATATTCTATAAGAGGAACAGGAGCTCAAGCAGTAGAAATTGAGGTGCCAGTACTCTGCTCCGGTGAGCTTCTGTCAAAGTCAAGCACTGCTTCTTATCCCTTGTGCAAATGGCCTACAGCTGTGTCTGTCCCGAGCTCACTGGTGCAGGAAACTGAGGGGCCAGAATATTTTATACAATGTTGCAAGTTCGCTAGCACAAGCTTCGGGCTGGACCCAAGTTAATAGTTGATACAATGTTTCAAGTTCATTGCAGACAGGCCATGTGTAGCCAATGTGGTTTATAGGAAGAAAATAAATCTGGATATTTTCTACTTGCAGGCTGCAATGTTTTTAAATTTGTTGGCTTTATTTAGGCTATTTTTACATAGTTGGCAGTAGAAGTTTTTAGGTTTGTATAATTTTCATTTAGATTTAAATCGAATTTTGATTAACCACATGACAATGATTTTGAGATATGAAGACGTTTTTATAAATGAAATGAAACTGTTCCACGAAAATGTGCCTATGAAAACCATAACTGGCAGGCAGATCGGTAGAAATGGTAAGATAAATTGGTATTTCACATGAGAAAGGTTGCCGAGTAATGGCAGAATCTGCGAAAGGCAGCAGGAGGAGAATGGTTGGGTCAGGTAAAGTTTTTTTTTTTTCTTCTGGTTATCTAGATCGCTGGATCCCTCTTGAGTCATTTGTCTTATTTCATCAAACCGTAAGCTTAAATCATCAGACAAGTTCAATGCATATATTTTATTAAAACACCTTAAGTGTGTCTATATATGGAAAAATACACGTTTAAACATTCCTGGGATCTGCAGTGCTTTAACCATGAATTATTTCCCCCTCTCTCTGGATCTTTACCTTCATCTTCTTTATTTCCAGTAAGCACCAGATGTTCGTGTATATTGAGTAGGGATTCACTCAACAACTTGTTCTCTTTTTTAAAGTTGATTAACATCAGCTTTGATAACATTGACTGTACCCTTCAGCTTTTTAGTTTCTTTTTCCAGTGTCACAGCTTTCTCATCACTCATTTCAAGGCTCACCTTCATCTCATGTATATCTTTACAGACTAACTCAAGTACGCCTAATTTATAGATTTTAGCAGTTCGGTTTCCACGCTTACCGTACAGGGTGGTGAAAATAGGTCATCCATGTCAGTCAGTCTCTTATCATATCTTTTAGAGGTTAGTTCTCCATTCTTTCCGTGTTTACCCTCCACCATGTTTTTGTTTTGACTGCGTTGGTAGTGTTCGTCTATAAAATGCTCTAGCCTTACAAGTTGTCTTGAGTTATTATCCAGTTTTGATGTTGTTGCCCACGAGTGAGCAGATCAGCGTAAAAGTACTATTATTTTGTCAGTTTTAGGGAGATTAATTTCTACGCTTTTTCACGAGGCATTCACAAGGCATTCTGCACCGCCATCTTCAGTCCGCCATATTTCCTATCAAGGTGTTTTCCATGTTAGTAAAGACAATATTAAATTGAGAATAGTCTGATAGATGAAAATATGATCACTTGATGAGAGAACAGCGTGTGCAGCCTGAGGGGCAAGGAACAGAGGGCAAGCTTTTTTGGCGACTTTCTCAAATATAGTATGTAGTCTCATCATACAGCCCATATGTTTTGATTTCTAAGGTTTGTATCATTCACAACTAAAGTTGCCAAATAACTCTAAATCTAGCGTATAGGACCCGTTTCAAATTAACATATTTATGCTCAACATAGCCACTTCATATGTGCGCGAAGTCGCTCTGGAATGGGCAAAATATCCTTTCTATTTTATTAAGCTTAGTTAAAATATCCTTTTCTTACTATAAAATATCTACAGTGAGGGAAAAAAGTATTTGATCCCCTGCTGATTTTGTACGTTTGCCAACTGACAAAGAAATGATCAGTCTATAATTTTAATGGTAGGTTTATTTGAACAGTGAGAGACTAACAACAAAAAAATCCAGAAAAACGCATGTCAAAAATGTTATCAATTGATTTGCATTTTAATAAGGGAAATAAGTATTTGACCCCTCTGTAAAACATGACTTAGTACTTGGTGGCAAAACCCTTGTTGGCAATCAGAGGTCAGACGTTTCTTGTAGTTGGCCACCAGGTTTGCACACATCTCAGGAGGGATTTTGTTCCACTCCTCTTTGCAGATCTTCTCCAAGTCATTAAGGTTTCGAGGCTGACGTTCGGCAACTCGAACCTTCAGCTCCCTCCACATATTTTCTATGGGATTAAGTTCTGGAGACTGGCTAGGCCACTCCAGGACCTTAATGTGCTTCTTCTTGAGCCACTCCTTTGTTGCCTTGGCCGTGTGTTTTGGGTCATTGTCATGCTGGAATACCCATCCACGACCCATTTTCAATGCCCTGGCTGAGGGAAGGAGGTTCTCACCCAAGATTTGACGGTACATGGCCCCGTCCATCGTACCTTTGATGTGGTGAAGTTGTCCTGTCCCCTTAGCAGAAAAACACCCCCAAAGCATAATGTTTCCACCTCCATGTTTGACGGTGGGGATGGTGTTCTTGGGGTCATAGGCAGCATTCCTCCTCCTCCAAACACAGCGAGTTGAGTTGATGCCAAAGAGCTCGATTTTGGTCTCATCTGACCACAACACTTTCACCCAGTTCTCCTCTGAATCATTCAACTCCTCTAAATCATTTCAGTCCTTCACGGCGTAGTGTGTTACCAATTATTTTCTATGGTCCCAGCTGCCTTGAGATCATTGACAAGATCCTCCCGTGTAGTTCTGGGTTGATTCCTCACTGTTCTCATGACCATTGCAACTCCACGAGGTGATATCTTGCATGGAGCCCCAGGCCGAGGGAGATTGACAGTAATTTTGTGTTTCTTCCATTTGCGAATAATCGCACCAACTGTTGTCACCTTCTCACCAAGCTGCTTGGCGATGGTCTTTTAGCCCATTCCAGCCTTGTGTAGCTCTACAATCTTGTCCCTGACATCCTTGGAGAGCACTTTGGCCTTGGCCATGGTGGAGAGTTTGGAATCTGATTGATTGCTTCTGTGGACAGGTGTCTTTTATACAGGTAAACTGAGATTAGGAGCACTCCCTTTAAGAGTGTGCTCCTAATCTCAGCTCATTACCTGTATACAAGACACCTGGGAGCCAGACATTTTTCTGATTGAGAGGGGGTCATACTTATTTCCCTCATTAAAATGCTAATACATTTATAACATTTTTGACATGCGTTTTTCTGGATTTTTTTGTTGTTATTCTGTCTCTCACTGTTCAAATAAACCTACCATTAAAAGTATAGGCTGATCATTTCTTTGTCAGTGGGCAAACATACAAAATCAGCAGGGGATCAAATACTTTTTTCCCTCACTGTAATATAAAATAATGGAATGGGATTTATACGCATATCATGTCTGCTAAATTAATAAGCCTACGCCTATGGCATAGCCAGATAACAACATATTGAAGGCTAACTCATATTCTGTTCTTCTGAAATGCATTTTCTTTATATCATAATGTTTCTTTAGACCTGCCTAAAATACATTACGATTTATTGTGATGGTGTATATTCAATTGATTTATTAGACTTTGTTAATTAACGGTCAATTACTGTGAGACCGGCAGTCTTTTACATGACAATAATGTGACCCTGTGTGCTAGCTAGTTAGTTAGCTAACCCAGGGCTTCCCAAACTCGGTCCTGGTGCACGTTTTGTTTTTTGCCCTAGCACTACATAGCTGATTCAAATAACCAACTCATCAGCAAGCTTTGATGTTTTGAATCACCTGTGTAGTGCTAGGGCAAAAACCAAAACGTGCATCCAGGGGGGACCCCAGGACCGAGGGCCAGTGAGAAAAGTTAACGTTGGACTGACTGAATAAAGTCGATCTCATATCCTTTCCATTCATAAATCATACAACGTAGTTATATGTCCATGGTATCGCATCGGGACAAGTAAACTAAAGATCTCATTTTTATTTTCGATATGAAGTCCGTCAGGACTTGCCAGACAGTGATTTTAAAGTGAGTGACTCGTCCGTAGCCTACCGAATTGCATCGGTAAGAGAGCTGTAGGCTTTTTGCCAATTATCTGCACATAAATTATGAAAACATTTGATTATGATGGTGAATCCTCCTCACTGCAGGAACAATATGTAGGCTGGTGGAGCGAGAGCCTCACTCTGGTCCAAAATATAATACAATAAAAAATGATTAATTGTTTTAAAAGCTAATGATACTTATATGGTATTTTCAAAGATATTGATGTAGGTCTACTGATTTTAATGAACAGGTTGACAATAAGAGTAGTCAACTGCTGCTTTCTGTGTAGCAAAGCCCATGTTTAACACCTGCTTTTTTTTTTATCATACCTGTATTGCAGATAGCTGAGAAAATGCCTGAAGGCCCAGTGCAGTCAATTAAGTTTTTCCAGTGTTTTATATCATATTGTACAACAGCTGATGAAACTAACACTGTAAAAGTGTAATCAGTGTTATTTCCTTAAAATACAATCTAGCATTTGAATGTACCAGAGGCCACCAAAATAGTGCTTGTTCTGCAACAACAACAAATGGCGGGGGGAGCCAGGCTGGCTACTTTTTCTATTTGTGGAAAACACTGTCAATGTCATGGAAATAATAAAATCATTGCAATGGATGACTTATTATTTAGAGATCTTACATTTAATAAACCAATCTTGACATGGATACCTGCCTGATTGACCGAAGTATTCAGATGAGTTAAAGGAACATAAATTAGGTTACTTACATTAACCGCACTACGGGACATAGTATGCTTTCCATGTCCTCTGTTGCTAATTATGACCGGGAGGACTGGAGCACTACCAGAACCAGACAGCCAGTCTATTGGTTTTGATCAGGTCCTCGGTAAATAACTGCCATATACTGTCTAGGAGTACTCTGTTATCCACATGATCATGGTTTTTAAACTTTTCGATTGTTTGACTTACCCTTCTTCATGCGCTCTCTCTCCCATTCCCTCCCTCTCCCTCCAGTGTTTGCCACCTGTACCTACTCCAGCCTCCTGTTCGTGTGTTTCCTGCACGATGTAAAAAACGTCCTTAAGATGTACCGTCTGAGCTCGGGGGAGGAGCTCAGGACCTTCCCCCTGGACGTGGGCTCTGTTGTGGGCTTCACCGGACGCAAGAGGGACTCTGAGATCTTCTACTACTTCACCTCCTTCCTCTCGCCAGGTAGGCTATCATAAACCAGGGCTCAAAACTGTGACCCAAGCACTCACATTTGCGACCTTTTGACTTGGCAGTGCGACACCGATTCTTAATTGGTCGCTAGGGTGCCAGTGGAAAAAAATTGTTTTTGTTCATGTTAGTTTTTGGTTCACAATGTGCTTTTTTTCATTATCAAGATTTATTCAAACAGCAATGGGTATGCAACAATGGATATGCAGACCAGGTAGCCTATTTAAAAAGTTTGTTCAGAAGTCTTGGTTGAATCTTTGCGATGCGCAATTGTCATCATGCTCTGTTTGAATGAACATTTCTAAAGGCTTTCCCAAAAAACCTTCTCAATTAAATGTTGACTAAAGAGTAGGCCTACCTGGCAGAATGATATCATTCGCATCAATGACAGGGCATTTGTTTTGCCAACTCTGCCATCACATGTAGCTTACACTGTACAGTACAAAAACACCGCTAGCCTAACACAACGTGTTCTTGCTTAGGTGTACAATTGAATAAAGGACCCTCCTGCCCAAAAATGTTTTGATTGTTCCCAGGACTCAAAAGTGCTCTCCTGATGTGGTTTAACCCTTGGCCTACAATAGCCGCACCCCCATGGAAATCGAATTAACATAATAATTAACATCCCCATCAAAGTCCGTCTGTTTAAGCTAGATATTCAGTGCCTTGCAAAAGTATTCATCCCCTTGGCGGTTTTCCTATTTTGTTGCATTACAACCTGTAATTTAAATGGATTTTTATTTGGATTTCATTTAATGGACATACACAAAATAGTCCAAATTGGTGAAGTGAAATGAAAAAAATGACTTGTTTCAAAAAATTCTAAAAAATTAATAACGGAAAAGTGGTGTGTGCATATGTATTCACCCCCTTTGCTATGAAGCCCCTAATAAGATCTGGTGCAACCAATTACCTTCAGAAGTCACATAATTAGTTAGATTGCACACAGGTGGACTTTATTTCAGTGTCACGTGATCTGTCACATGATCTCAGTATATATACACCTGTTCTGAAAGGCCCCAGAGTCTGCAACACCACTAAGCAAGGGGCACCACCAAGCAAGCGGCACCATGAACAAACATTTTTTTTTTATGTTGTTCATCAAATGAAGACCAAGGAGCGCTCCAAACAGGTCAGGGACAAAGTTGTGGAGAAGTACAGATGAGGGTTGGGATATATAAAAATATCAAACTTTGAACATCCCACGGAGCACCATTTTCTAAATCCATTATTAAAAAATGGAAAGAATATGGCACCACAACAAACCTTCCAAGAGAGGGCTGCCCACCAAAACTCACGGACAAGGCAAGGAGGGCATTAATCAGAGGCAACAGAGACCAAAGATAACCCTGAAGGAGCTGCAAAGCTCCACAGCGGAGATTGGAGTATCTGTCCATAGGACCACTTTAAGCCGTACTCTCCACAGAGCTGGGCTTTACGGGAGAGTGGCCAGAAAAAAGCCATTGCTTAATGAAAAAAATAAGCAACCACGTTTGGTGTTTGCCAAAAGCCATGTGGGAGACTCCCCAAACATATGGAAAAGGGTACTCTGGTCAGATGAGATAAAATTGAGCTTTTTGGCCATTAAGAAAAACGCAATGTCTGGCGCAAACCCAACAGCTCTCATCACCCCGAGGACACCATCCCCACAGTGAAGCATGGTGGTGGCAGCATCATGCTGTGGGGATGTTTTTCATCGGCAGGGACTGGGAAACTGGTCAGAATTGAAGGAATGATGGCTGGCGTTAAATACAGGAAAATTATTGAGGGAAACCTGTTTCAGTCTTCCAGAGATTTGAGACTGGGACGGAGGTTCACCTTCCAGAAGGACAATGACCCTAAGCATACTGCTAAAGCAACACTCGAGTGGTTTAAGGGGAAACATTGAAATGTCTTGGAATGGCCTAGTCAAAGCCCAGACCTATGTGGTATGACTTAAAGATTGCTGTACACCAGCGGAACCCATCCAACTTGAAATACTTCAAATCCCAGAGGCTAGATGTGCCAAGCTTATAGAGACCTACCCCAAGAGACTTGCAGCTGTAATTGCGGGGGGGGGGGGGGGGGGGGGGGGGGGAGAGACTTGCAGCTGTAATTGCGGGGGGGAGGGGGGTGAATAATTATGCACACTCAAGTTTTCTGTTTTTTTGTCTTATTTTTTGTTTGTTTCACACAAAACATTTTTTTTTGCATATTCAAAGTGATAGGCACGTTGTGTAAATCAAATGATACAATCCCCCAAAAAATCAATTTTAATTCCAGGTTGTAAGGCAACAAAATTGGAAAAATGCCAAGGGGGATGAATACTTTCGCAAGCCACTGTATGTGTTTTTTTGCACGGGCTGCGTCTCAATCCATCGCATCCGCCGATATCGCCCTTCTGCATCTGCGGTGAAAGGTGGCAGAGAGAGAGCGGTGTTTGTCAGACCATGAGACATCCCGGGAAAATCAGTCTTCTCACAAAAACGTCTGTAGCGTCCAAACGGTTTAGCCTATAAAACTATTATGACCACTCTATTGAAAGCTGAAAGTCACGAACACAATGGTTTTCTCCCTTTTGCATGAATGGAACTACGGTGCATTCGGAAATTATTCAGACCACTTCACTTATTCCACATTTTGTTAACAGCTTTAATTTAAAATTGATTAAATGTTTTTTTCCCCTAATCAATCTACACACAATACCCCATAATGACAAAACAAAAACTGTTTTTTAGATCTTTTGCAAGTGTGTGTGTGTGTGTGTATGTATGTATGTATGTATGTATGTATGTATGTATATATATATATATATATATATATATATATATATATATATATATATATATATATATTGCTCAAAAAAATAAAGGGAACACTAAAATAACACATCCTAGATCTGAATGAATGAAATAATCTTATTAAATACTTTTTTCTTTACATAGTTGAATGTGCTGACAACAAAATTATCAATGGAAATCAAATGTATCAACCCATGGAGGTCTGGATTTGGAGTCACCCTCAAAATTAAAGTGGAAAACCACACTACAGGCTGGTCCAACTTTGATGTAATGTCCTTAAAACAAGTCAAAATGAGGCTCAGTAGTGTGTGTGGCCTCCACGTGCCTGTATGACCTCCCTACAACGCCTGGGCATGCTCCTGATGAGGTGGTGGATGGTCTCCTGAGGGATCTCCTCCCAGACCTGGACTAAAGCATCCGCCAACTCCTGGACAGTCTGTGGTGCAATGTGGCGTTGCTGGATGAAGCGAGACATGATGTCCCAGATGTGCTCAATTGGATTCAGGTCTGGGGAACGGGCGGGCCAGTCCATAGCATCAATGCCTTCCTCTTGCAGGAACTGCTGACACACTGCAGCCACATGAGGTCTAGCATTGTCTTGCATTAGGAGGAACCCAGGGCCAACCGCACCAGCATATGGTCTCACAAGGGGTCTGAGGATCTCATCTCGGTACCTAATGGCAGTCAGGCTACCTCTGGCGAGCACATGGAGGGCTGTGCGGCCCCCCAAAGAAATGCCACCCCACACCATGACTGACCCACCGCCAAACCGATCATGCTGGAGGATGTTGCAGGCAGCAGAACGTTCTCCACGGCGACTCCAGACTGTCACGTGCTCAGTGTGAACCTGCTTTCATCTGTGAAGAGCACAGGGCGCCAGTGGCGAATTTGCCAATCTTGATGTTCTCTGGCAAATGCCAAAAGTCCTGCACGGTGTTGGGCTGTAAGCACAACCCCCACCTGTGGACGTCGGGCCCTCATGGAGTCTGTTTCTGACCGTTTGAGCAGACACATGCACATTTGTGGCCTGCTGGAGGTCATTTTACAGGGCTCTGGCAGTGCTGCTCCTGCTCCTCCTTGCACAAAGGCGGAGGTAGCAGTCCTGCTGCTGGGTTGTTGCCCTCCTACGGCCTCCTCCACGTCTCCTGATGTACTGGCCTGTCTCCTGGTAGCGCCTCCATGCTCTGGACACTACGCTGACAGACACAGCAAACCTTCTTGCCACAGCTTGCATTGATGTGCCATCCTGGATGAGCCGCACTATCTGAGCCACTTGTGTGGTTTGTAGACTCCGTCTCATGCTACCACTAGAGTGAAAGCACCGCCAGCATTCAAATGTGACCAAAACATCAGCCAGAAAGCATAGGAACTGAGAAGTGGTCTGTGGTCACCTGTAAAACCAGTCCTTTATTGGGGGTGTCTTGCTAATTGCCTATAATTTCCACCTGTTGTCTATTCCATTTGCACAACAGCATGTGAAATTTATTGTCAATCAGTTTTGCTTCCTAAGTGGACAGTTTGATTTCACAGAAGTGTGATTGACTTGGAGTTACATTGTGTTGTTTAAGTGTTCCCTTTATTTTTTTGAGCAGTATATGTATGTGTGTGTGTATGTGTGTATGTGTGTGTATATATATATACACACACACACACACAGTGGGAAGAACAAGTATTTGATACACTGCCGATTTTGCAGGTTTTCCTACTTACAAAGCATGTAGAGGTCTGTAATTTTTATCATAGGTACACTTCAACTGTGAGAGACGGAATCTAAAACAAAAATCCAGAAAATCACATTGTATGATTTTTAAGTAATTAATTAGCATTTTATTGCATGACAGAAGTATTTGATCACCTACCAACCAGTAAGAATTCCGGCTCTCATAGACCTGTTAGTTTTTCTTTAAGAAGCCCTCCTGTTCTCCACTCATTACCTGTGTTAACTGCACCTGTTTGAACTCGTTACCTGAATAAAAAAGCACCTGTCCACACACTCAATCAAACAGACTCCAACCTCTCCACAATGGCCAAGACCAGAGAGCTGTGTAAGGACATCCGGGATAAAATTGTAGACCTGCACAAGGCTGGGATGGGCTACAGGACAATAGGCAAGCAGCTTGGTGAGAAGGCAACAACTGTTGGCGCAAATATTAGAAAATGGATAGAAGTTCAAGATGACGGTCAATCAACCTCGGTCTGGGGCTCCATGCAAGATCTCACCTCATGGGGCATCAATGATCATGAGGAAGGTGAGGGATCAGCCCAGAACTACACGGCAGGACCTGGTCAATGACCTGAAGAGAGCTGGGACCACAGTCTCAAAGAAAACCATTAGTAACACACTACGCTGTCATGGATTAAAATCCTGCAGCGCACGCAAGGTCCCCCTGCTCAAGCCAGCGCATGTCCAGGCCCATCTGAAGTTTGCCAATGACCATCTGGATGATCCAGAGGAGGAATGGGAGAAGGTCAAGTGGTCTGATGAGACAAAAATAAAGCTTTTTGGTCTAAACTCCACTCGCCGTGTTTGGAGGAAGAAGGAGGATGAGTATAACCACAAGAACACCATCCCAACCGTGAAGCATGGAGGTGGAAAAATCATTCTTTGGGGATGCTTTTCTGCAAAGGGGACAGGACGACTGCACCGTATTGAGGGGAGGATGGAAGGGGCCATGTATCTCGAGATCTTGGCCAACAACCTCCTTCCCTCAGTAAGAGCATTGAAGATGGGTCGTGGCTGGGTCTTCCAGCATGGCAACGACAGGAAACACACAGCCAGGGCAACTAAGGAGTGGCTCCGTAAGAAGCATCTCAAGGTCCTGGAGTGGCCTAGCCAGTCTCCAGACCTGAACCCAATAGAAAATCTTTGGAGGGATCTGAAAATCCGTATTGCCCAGCGACAGCCCCGAAACCTGAAGGATCTGGAGATGGTTTGTATGGAGGAGTGGGCCAAAATCCCTGCTGCAGTGTGCGCAAACCTGGTCAAGACCTACAGGAAACGTATGATCTCTGTAATTGCAAACAAAGGTTTCTGTACCAAATATTAAGTTCTGCTTTTCTGATGTATCAAATACTTGTCATGCAATAAAATGCAAATTACTTACTTAAAAATCATACAATTTGATTTTCTGGATTTTTGTTTTAGATTCCGTCTCTCACAGTTGAAGTGTACCTATGATAAAAATTACAGACCTCTACATGCTTTGTAAGTAGGAAAACCTGCAAAATCGGCAGTGTATCAAATACTTGTTCTCCTCACTGTGTGTGTGTGTGTGTGTGTGTGTGTGTGTGTATATATATATATATCACATTATTCATAAGTATTCAGACCCTTTACTCAGTACTTTGTTGAAGCATCTTTGGCAGAGACTACAGTCTCGAGTTCTTGGGTATGATGCTACAAGCTTGGCACACCTGTATTTGGGGAGTTTCTCCCATTCTTCTCTGCAGATCCTCTCAAGCTCTGTCAGGTTGGATGGGGAGCATTGCTGCACAGCAATTTTCAGGTCTCTCCAGAGATGTTCAATCGTGTTCAAGTCCGGACTCTGGCTGGGCCACTCAAGACATTCAGAGACTTGTCCCTAAGCCACTCCTGCATTGTCTTGGCTGTGTGCTTAGGGTCGTTTTCCTGTTGGAAGGTGAACCTTCGCCCCAGTCTGAGGTCACGAGTGCTCTCGAGCAGGTTTTCATCAAGGGTCTCTCTGTACTTTGCTACGTTCATTTTTCCCTCGTTCGTGACTAGTCTCACAGTCCCTGCCACTGAAAAACATCCCCACAGCATGATGCTGCCACCACCATGCTTCACCGTAGAGTTGGTGCCAGGTTTCCTCCAGACGTGACTTTGGCATTCAGGCCAAAGAGTTCAATCTTGGTTTCATCAGACCAGAGAATCTTGTTTCTCATGGTCAGTGTCCTTTAGGTGCCTTTTGGCAAACTCCAAGCGGGCTATCATGTGCCCTTTACTGAGGAGTGGCTTCCGTGTGGCCACTCTAACATAAAGGCCTGATTGGTGTAGTGCTGCAGAGATGGTTGTCCTTCTGGAAGGATCTCCCATCCCTACAGAGCTCTGTCAGAGTGACCATCGGGTTCTTGGGCACCTCCCTGACCAAGGCCCTTCTCCCCCGATTGCTCAGTTTGGATGGGCGGCCAGCTCTAGGAAGAGTCTTGGTGTTTCCAAACGTCTTCCATTTAAGAATGATGGAGGCCACTGTGTTCTTTGGAACCTCCAATGCTGCATAAAGGTTTTGGTACCCTTCCCCAGATCTGTGCCTCGACACAACTTTGTCTCTGAGCTCTACAGACAATTCCTTCAACCTCATGGTTTGTTTTTTGCTCTGACATGCACTGTCAACTGTGGGACCTTTATATAGACTGCTGTGTGCCTTTCCAAATCATGTCCAATCAGTTGAATTTACAACAGGTGTACTCAAATCAAGTTGTAGAAACATCTCAAGGATGATCAATGGAAACAGGTTGCACCTGAGCTCAATTTCGAGTCTCATAGCAAAAGGTCTGAATACTTATGCAAATAAGGTATTTCTGTTATTTTTAATAAATTAGCAAACATTTCTAAAAACCTGTTTTCATTTAGTCATTATGGGGAATTTCGTGTAGATAAAAAAATTAAATAATCTATTTTAGAATAAGGCTGTAACGTAACAAAATGTGGGAAAAGTCAAGGGGTTCGAATGCACTGTATATATGGAGATGGTTTAGTGCCTAAAATAAGGGGATAAATACATGTACAAAAAAATATATACTGGAAATTATCTCTGATATAGGACAGACACTTTAGAACAAACTTCCATCTTATAACAATTCCATATGTTAGCTTAGAAGCCCCCCCCTCCCCCGGTTTAGACAGGGCCTAGACTCTAGAGGGTTAAGTGTTGTTGTGGACTTCGAACATCCAATATTTGTAGTTTTTCTATAAAGAAAAGTGTGATTTTGAGAGTGAAAACCTGAAAGAAACTCAGAAACCTGGAAAAACATAACCAGGAAATCTGAATTTACCAAAAGATAAAACTGCTTTTATAAGGGCACTACAACTGTAGTGACTGTTCAGAATCGTTAACAATAACACCCTTTTTCAGATTGCGTAAAGGTTTTATTTATTTATAAAGATTTTTAGCCTGGTTCGGAAGGAATCCAGGTACATTATGGGACACAGTTCAGGACATTATCACTGTGCAGCGGCGCAAAATTGGTGCGACCAAACCATATGCTGAAAAAGTTGGTGCCACCAGTGAATCAGACACACAGAAAAAAATATACACACACACATTCTGTGGTGGGCTTCAGCAGATGCAAGAGGGACTCTGAGATCTTCTACTACTTCACCTCCTTCCTCTCACGACGTAGGCTATCATATTACACACATTCTGAGTTAGAGACTGATACACATGCATACAGATGTTCTACTACTTCACCTCTTTCCTCTTGCCAGATACACACACACACACACACACACACACACACACACAAACACAAACACACTTTCTACTATTTCACCCCTTTCCTCTCTCTTGTCTCTTGTAATGTACGAATGTAATTCAGACTTGTGGAATTTCTACAAATATACGGAATTGAAAAATTAAAAATGACCTGTACCCCGCTCTCTTTCGTCCAGCCATCATCTATCACTGTGACCTGACCAAGGAGCCCCTGCAGCCCCACGTGTTCCGGGAGGTCACCGTCAAGGGCTTTGACCCCTCTGACTACCAGACCACTCAGGTGAGATACCTACAATATTACATGTACATGATGACCTTTCAAAGGATGGTATGCTTTTCCATACTGTACAAATTAAAAAGAAAGTCACACACTCATCTCTCCTTGCTGTGGATTTATTTGACCAACATTTCGGCTAAAGATTAAACGTTGGTCAAATCTATCCACAGGAAGGGGAGATGATTGTAACTTTTTCATATGCGTAGTGTATTTTCTGTTAGTTAGCACCTCACCTAAAGGGTGTGTTCTTTATTTTATTTACTTCATGCTTTTCTATACTAACACAAATCACCAGAATTGACTGATTCGATGTGTGTGTTTTGTCACTTCAACAAACCTCTGTGTAAATACGGAGTGTACTAAACATTAGGAACACCCAATATTGAGTTGCACCCCATTTTGCCCTCAGAACAGCCTCAATACGTCGAGGCATGGACTACAAGGTGTTGAAAGCATTCCACAGGGATGCTGGCCCATGTTGACTCCAATGCTTCCCACAGTTGTGTCAAGTTAGCTGGATGTCCTTTGGGGGGTTGACCATTCTTGATACGCACGGGAAACTGTTGAGCGTGAAAAACCCAGCAGCGTTGCAGTTCTTGACACCCTCAAACTGCCCATTCACCCTCTGAATGGCACACAATAACAATCCATGTCTCAAAGCTTAAAAATCCTTATTTTACCTTTCTCCTACCCTTCATCTACACTGATTGAAGTGGATTTAACAAGTGACATCAATAAGGGATCATAGCTATCACCTGGATTCACCTGGTCAGTCTGTCATGGAAAGAGCATGTTTTCTGCACTCAGTGTGTATTTGTGTCTCCAGGTATTCTACCCCAGTAAGGATGGCACTGAGATCCCCATGTTTATCGTCCATAAGAAGGGCCTGAAGTTGGACGGCTCTCACCCTGCCTTCCTCTACGGCTACGGAGGGTTCAACATCTCCATCACTCCCAGCTACAGGTAAAACCACAAGTCACACTGCTAGCTACAAGTACAACCACAAGTCATACCAGTGTTTTCCATAAGCGCTGTCCTTCGGCTAAATAGACGATAACAGACTCATTGCTCTGCTGGCTACTTTTTCCACTTCGTTAAGGTGGTCACACCAAAATATGTTTAAAAACAATTGATAAAATATGTAATTTGGCCTTTATTACTATATTCCTTAGAAATGCATTGAATAACACATTCATAAATGTAAACAGTTCCCAAAAAAATCAATAAGGTTTTAAAGTGTCTGTCCTATATCTAGGAGTGATATATGACCAAGCACCTCTTTTCGGTCTCATGTAGCAACATTTGAAATGATGGCCTCTGCATGCCTCTGGAGGCTCCGCAATTACGTCACACCCTCCATACGGAGCCTCCGACCACATTTTCAGATCAAGCATAAACTGGCTTTTAAGTGTCCACAGCAGCAGAGCCAATAAAATACAGAATTTGAAGAACAAACATCATTGTGGCAATTCATATCTTACAAGTCATATTTACAGTTTACTGCATCTCAAGAGAAGAGGTTTAATGTTAAAAAAAGGTTATCTTACTTAGAAAATAGTCCTGATCATATAGTCCTAGACGATATCCAAAACTAACACACTGAAATCATACATTTTCAGTCATTTTAATTGCAAAGTCAAGTCTTTCTATCAATACCACAACTAAAGTTGTGAAATTATTCAATAATTTAGCTGTATATTTCAGTTGGAATCAAGGCATTAGAATGTACCAGAGGCCACCAAATTAGAGCTCGTTCAAATTGGAGCAATTTCTTCCCCCGGACCCACCCAGCCTAGAACTCCCTGGTTGGCTACTTTTTCTATTTGGCTGGCATACTGGTAGCTACAGGTACAACCACAAGTCATACTGCTAACTACAGGTAAAACCACCAAGTCATACTGGATCTATTACCCAATTTGTCTATATTCACTTAAAGTTGCTACATTTACCAATTTAGCTAGATCTCTATTTCTTCTTTTGATTGCCTCATGAAGTAATGTTCCTTTACTTAGTGCTGAGCGATTAGTGCTTTTTGAGGTCGGTTCGGTTTTGGTTTGATTTTTATTTATTTATATAATCACGGTTTTCAAAGTAAAAAGGCATACTTTTATGACTGCTGAAAACCAACTATCAATCACTTAGATCATGTATTTTCAGGTAGAGATACCTCACGAAGCAACAGCTGCTCTCTATCCCGTCACGATCGCTCATTATTTCGATTTGGATTATTTTGTTAAATATTAAATGCATTTTGCATTACAGTTGAAGTCGGAAGTTTACATACAGTTAGGTTGGAGTCATTAAAACTCATTTTTCAACCACTCCACAAATGTCTTGTTAACAAACTATAGTTTTGGCAAGTCTGTTAGGACATCTACTTTGTGCATGACACAAGTAATTTTTCCAACAATTGTTTACAGACAGATTATTCACTGTATCACAATTCCAGTGGGTCAGAAGTTTACATACACTAAGTTGACTGTGCCTTTAAACAACTTGGAAAATTCCAGAAAATGATGTCATGGCTTTAGAAGCTTCTGATAGGCTAATTTACATAATTTGAGTCAATTGAAGGTATACCTGTGGATGTATTTCAAGGCCTACCTTCAAACTCAGTGCCTCTTTGCTTGATATCATGGGAAAATCAAAAGAAATCAGCCAAGACCTCAGAAAAAAAAATTGTAGACCTCCAAAAGTCTGGTTCATCCTTGGGAGCAATTTCCAAACGCCTGAAGGTACCACGTTTATCTGTACAAACAATACTACGCAAGTATAAACACCATAGGACCACGCAGCCGTCATAACGCTCAGGAAGGAGATGCGTTCTGTCTCCTAGAGATGAACGTGCGAAAAGTGAAAATCAATCCCAGAACAACAGCAAAGGACCTTGTGAAGATGCTGGAGGAAACGGGTACAAAAGTATCTATATCCACAGTAAAACAAGTCCTATATCGACATAACCTGAAAGGCCGCTCAGCAAGGAAGAAACCACTGCTCCAAAACCGCCATAAAAAAGCCAGACTACGGTTTGCAACTGCACATGGGGACAAAGATCGTACTTTTGGAGAAATGTCCTCTGGTCTGATGAAAAAAAAAATAGAACTGTTTGCCCATAATGACCATCGTTATGTTTGTAGGAAAAAGGGGGACGCTTGCAAGCCGAAGAACACCATCCCAACCGTGAAGCACGGGGGTGGCAGCATCATGTTGTGGGGGTGCTTTGCTGCAGGAGGGACTGGTGCACTTCACAAAATAGATGGCATCATGAGGAAGGAAAATGATGTGGATATATTGAAGCAACATCTCAAGACATCATTTACATCATTTAGCAGACGCTCTTATCCAGAGCGACTTACAAATTGGTACATCAGTCAGGAAGTTAAAGCTTGGTCGCAAATGGGTCTTCCAAATGGACAATGACCCCAAGCATACTTCCAAAGTTGTGGCAAAATGGCTTAAGGACAACAAAGTCAAGGTATTGGAGTGGCCATCACAAAGCCCTGACCTCAATCCTATAGAAAATGTGTGGGCAGAACTGAAAAAGCGTGTGCGAGCAAGGAGGCCTACAAACTTGACTCAGTTACACCAGCTCTGTCAGGAGGAATGGGCCAAAATTCACCCAATTTATTGTGGGAAGCTTGTGGAACGCTACCCGAAACGTTTGACCCAAGTTAAACAATTTAAAGGCAATGCTACCAAATACTAATTAAGTGTATGTAAACTTCTGACCCACTGGGAATGTGATGAAAGAAATAAAAGCTGAAATAAATAGTTCTCTCTACTATTATTCTGACATCCTAACTGACCTAAGACAGACAGGGATTTTTTTACTAGGATTAAATGTCAGGAATTGTGAAAAACAGAGTTTAAATGAATTTGGCTAAGGTGTATGTAAAAGTCTGACTTCAACTGTATGTGGGTTGAATATTGTAAAACAGAAAAAACATGAAAACAGCCCCAGACCATTATTCATCTTCTACTGGACTGCCAGATGGTGAAGCGTGATTCATCACTCCAGAGAACGCGTTTCCACTGCTCCAGAGTCCCAATGGCGGCGAGCTTTACACCATTCCAGCCGACGCTTGGCATTGCACATAGTAATCTTAGGCTTGTGTGCGGCTGCTCGGCCATGGAAACCCATTTCGTGAAGCTCCCCATAAACAGTTTTTTTGCTGACGTTGCTTCCAGAGGCAGTTTTGAACTAGTGAGTGTTGCAACTGAGGACAGATTATTTTTACGTGCTACGCACTTCAGCACTCGGTGGTCCCGTTCTGTGAGCTTGTGTGGCCTACCATTTCGCGGCTGAGCTGTTGTTGGTCCTAGACGTTTCCACTTCACAATAACAGCACTTACAGTTGACCGGGGCAGCTCTAGCAGGGCAGAAATTTGACGAACTGACTTGTTGGAAAGGGGGCATCCTATGACGGTGCCGCGTTGAAAGTCACTGAGCTCTTCAGTAAGGCCATTCTAATGCCAATGTTTGCGTGGCTGTGTGCTCGGTTTTATACACCTGTCAGCAACGGGTGTGGCTGAAATAGCCGAATCCACTAATTTGAAGGGGTGTCCACATACTTTTGTATATATAGTGTACCTCGCAAAGCAACAGCTGCTCTCTTTATCCCCCCACGATCGCGCATTCTGGATTATGGTCATTGTAGTTAATTACCACATTTTATATGCTGAACTATGTCAAATATTGGCCTGTTGGAAACTATAACTCCCTACTACATCGCACAGTTCAGGCTAGAACTGATATATCTAGAGAAACCATGCAATGTGCGCTTTGAGTTCACAGAAAAAAAGGGTTAATCGCTCAGCACTACCTTGACTACTATAGATATATCGTTGATATTTAAGGTAACATTATTTGCAGGCGATAGTTACATTTAGCTCCTTTTTGAAGGACTAATATATCTTGGCCCTTCTACACAATGCTTTCTATCTACCTTGACTTGTTTAGACAGAGTAACAGGATGTTAAGTAACAGGATGTTAAATGTTGTTTTTTCCAGTGTGTCACGGCTGATCTTTGTCCGACACATGGGAGGAGTCCTGGCGGTAGCCAACATCAGAGGAGGAGGGGAGTATGGAGAGACCTGGCACAAAGGTAACAGACACAGGTTGCCAGTCACTTGAGAGGAGAGGACTCCTGTTATAGATTCTGATTCCTAAACTTTACACACACACACACACACTCTCACCCGCTCTGTCCCTGTGTGTGTGTTTCTTCAGCGGGCATGCTGGCCAACAAGCAGAACTGCTTCACGGACTTCCAGTGTGCAGCAGAGTACCTCATCAAGGAGGGCTACTCATCCCCCTCCAAACTCACCATCAACGGAGGCTCCAACGGGGGCCTGCTCGTAGGTAGGGCCCGCAATGATGACATCACTATAGTTTGTTGTTGATGCTTTTAGTCAGTGAGCTCACACCCAGTCTGAAAACCAACCCTAGCACTGCCCTAACCTAACACAGTTTTGTTGACATCCTCCTCACCTGTATATCTGTATGTGTGTGTGTCTCTTGCTGCCTGCTAACCTTTTTGGTGTGTCCAACTTCTCACCTGTGTGTGTGTGTGTGTGTGTCTGTCCATCCCTCTCCGTCCCCCAGCGGCGTGTGTGAACCAGCGGCCGGAGCTGTTTGGCTGTGCCGTGGCCCAGGTGGGCGTCATGGACATGCTCAAGTTCCACAAGTTCACTATCGGCCACGCCTGGACCACCGACTTCGGCTGCTGCGATGTCAAGGAACAGTTTGATTGGCTCATCAAGTGAGTGCTCCTCCTTGGTCAAAACCATTCATCTTGGGGCAACAGGGGAAGCGGGTTTGCAAAATGCTATCATATCATGCAATTATACCGTTTATAAATTGGTCAGATATACACTGAGTAAACCAAACATTAGGAACACCTTCGTAATATTGAGTTGCACCCCCCCTTCCCCTTTGCCTCAGAACAGCCTCAATTTGTCTAGGCATGGACTCTACAAGGTGTCGAAATTGTTCCACAGGGATGGTGGCCCATGTTGACTCCAATACTTCCCACAGTTGTGTCAAGTTGGCTGGATGTCCTTTGGGTGGTGGACCATTCTTAATACAAACGGGAAACTGTTGAGCATGAGAAACCCAGGCAGCATTGCAGTTCTTGACACAAACCTTGTGTGCCTGGCACCTACTACCATACCCCGTTCCAAGGCTGAAAAATCCTTCTTTAACCTGTCTCCTCCTCTTCATCTAAACTGATTGAAGTTGATTTAACAAGTGACATCAAAAAGGGATCATAGCTTTCAACTGGTTTGACCAGTTTTCACCAGTCTGTCATGGAAAGAGCAGGTGTACTTAATGTTTTGTATACTCAGTGTATAGTCTCACAATAGGGGTCGTCATGTGTTAGTGTGAAAATGTTTGTGTGCAGTCTGTTACTGTGTCTGTGATGTTAGTTTATCTGGGTGTATTTTAGCCCCAAAAATATAATCAAGCACACTGTATTTTTATGGGTATGATTTTTCCTGATTAATCAGGAACCCCTGCTTTTCTGACATAACCTTCTAATCATACATGATACATCATTGAAATGTACCTTTGGCCAAACCAATCTTATTTTTTCTGTTATCATCCCTATTATTTGCCTGCTAATGATGGTGATTCACCCACATGTGGATGTGCATTGACTTTGACCCATGCCGCAATCCTCTTTCCTGTCTCCTAATGTCCCCCTCCTCTCTCCGCTCCGGCCAGATACTCCCCGCTGCACAACATTCACGTTCCCGAGTGCGAGGGCGTCCAGTACCCCTCAGTCCTCCTCCTCACGGGCGACCACGATGACCGCGTTGTCCCCCTGCACTCCCTCAAGTATATCGCCACACTGCAGCACGTGGTGGGCCGCTGGGCGGGCCAGAGTAACCCGCTGTTCATCCACGTGGACACCAAGTCGGGCCACGGTGCCGGCAAGCCCACCAGCAAGGTCATCCAGGAGGTGGCTGACACGTACGCATTCATCGCCCGCTGCCTCAACATCTCCTGGGTTAAATGAGGTGGTGGAAGACCTCCGACACATACGCCTTCATCACCCACTGCCTCGAAATTTCCTGGGTCAAATGAGGTGGTGAAAGACCTATGTCCATGGAGCGCTGTGGTTCTAGTTCCCCCTTCTCTCTTTCTTTGTGGAACTCTCTCTGAAAGTCTCTCTCTTTCTTGTTTCTCTGGTTGTCTTTTTGTATTTATCACAAAGCTTTTATTCAGCTGTTCCCTCCTCTCATCCTCTCTTTCCTTTTATATCTCTGACTTGAGCAGTAATCAATGTCAACACTAACCTGTGTTTCTGGTCTGTTTCTCTCCCCCTCTCTCTGTTTCCCAAATCTGTATTAACCACCCCTCATTTTATACATGCTCATCTCCTCTCTTTCTCTTGTCTCTCCCCTCCCTTTCCCTCTCTCCCCACGTGTGCCTGTTTTGGGCATGCGCTCCAGGACAGCAGAAGTATACAGTTAACCCCCTGTCTCCATCCCTCATCCTTCTGTCCCCAGTACCCTACCCCGCAGGGGCCAGCCCCAGCACATACCCACCCTCATAGCTCTTCCTCTTATTTGTTATCCTCTGTATTATATTCCATGTGTATTTTGGCTCTGATCGGAAAACCCTTTGTTCAATGTCGAAAGATAAGTGATACAGGGTTGGACTTATAACACTTAGTTATCAGCCTAGAGGTCAAAGGTCAAGGCTGCACATGTCATCAGTAGGGGGCGTCATAAAATGAAACAGCCCCCAATTGGTGCAACCCCCTACATACTACAATTTTATTTATTTATCATTTGCAGTACATTTGGAAGGCTTTTGCTCAGTAAAATCACTAGGTAAATGATTTTAGAATTTAGGATTAAAACTGTTCTATGGTCAGGGGGAGGGTAATGCAGAAAGAAAGTGTGTCTGCATGTGTGTTTGTGTGAGTCTCCACATATCCTCTCAGACTGATGTTAATTTCTACCTCTTGACATGTGCTGATTGTTTATCAATTAAAGGGATATAAACTAACTGCAATGCCACAACTTCAATAAAAAACATTTTGAACAGTGCTTTTTTTGTCCATTTTGTAACTCTCCTTACCTATTAGGTAGCTGATAAACTCATAGGAGCAGTGCAGTTAAATGCATTTGTCCTGTTTTTCTTTTACACTGAGGTCAAAATAACAATAAGAAATTGTGAAAATGATAATGCCCTTTTTGTATATTATATTATTATTATTATTGTATAAGAGCTGTTCGAAAAAATCGCCTGGAATTTCAGCCTGTTCAGGTGGGATGTAATTTTGTCCTTCTGCATAATGTCACCCGATTATAAGAGACCAATTGATGTTCATCATTTATTTCAATATTCCCTCCTAGTTTTGGTGCTTGTCCCGCCCAAAAGCAAGAGAGGTTGTGCAGTATGGCTGCCTTTGCACTGTATTCCATCAAAACAATCACTTTGTTTGATTTGAATGTGATTTTTTAAATTCATAATCAACTGTCAGAGAAGTTTAGTCGAACCTCATGTACAGCACACTGCATTAGACTACATTGCAAATCATGCTAGGTACACGTGGATTTGCCAGCAGCTCCTTCAAGCATCGCAAATATCTTGAAATCCATGCAACCATTCATGAAGTGTCTAGATAGTTATTTTTCTAGAATAAGTAAAGGACATGCTTTTCATGGGTTGCATGCTTCGTCACAACATTGTTTTGAACGTTCTCTTGAGGACTGATGCCCAAATGAACGTTCTACTAGCCACTTAATGGCATTCTCTCAGCCGCCATGTGCTGATGATGCAAATCATTAGTAGGAAAACCTTTTGCCATCACTGTGATGTCGCCAGATTGACTAGATGAAGTATAACTTTAGCTAGCTAGTTAAGATTGAAGGTCCGTATTTTGCTAGCTAACGTTAGCATTGTTGTGTAACTTTTCTAGCTATGGCAATTGTTATCTCTCTAAAGTAAATTTGACGATATGATAAGTGATGGCAAAGTTGTTTTCTACTAATTACTTGCCTGCTTCAGCAATGTCATCGTATTTCCAGGCCACTAAAGTGTCTCCTCAGATAATGTTAAATAGATTGCTAGCTACCAGTCTGTGAGCTAACTAATGGTAGCTTGACTGCTGTTCAAGCTGCAGTCACTCAAAACGGACAAAGGTAGCCTACTTAGGGTTCTCCCCAAAGAATGTACGAGAGGCGCTGTGCCAGTTTGTGGACTGGCTGCACCACTATGTAAAAAATATAATCTAGATTGCAGGAAATGACAGATACAAGTGTTAAAAAATCCTAACCCTATCCCCCCACCTTGTTAAAAAATACTGGGGAGAACCCTGCTACTTGATTTAACTTATCTTTTTTATGTTTGTGTATTCTTTGATGACTGTACAAAATTATATTTGTCATTAGGTATTAGCGCTAAAATAAACTGGCTTGTGATTGGATTTGTAGCTACTAGCCTGCCAGCCAGAAGAGAGAGGGTAGCTATTATTATTATTAGCTAGATATCTCATTAGTTGTATGTTTATCTGTGATATGACTCACAAATAGTAAGCCTTCTGGCTGTTGAATGCAATAATTAATGTATAACCCTTAATGCCTTATGATAGATCAAATGATTAATGACATTTCAGGCTGGAGGTCTAGCTAGTTTGACTTTGCTACAGGCATACATTATATTATTTCAGTTATGGACTATCAGATATGAAATTGTTTTCTCAAATGTGAGAGTGAAAAACTTAGGATTATAAAATGTAACTTTGTCACCTTGCCAACAGGTTGATAACTTGTAACTACACAATTCCCTTCTATTCATGATCCCCTTATGTGCTAAAGGATGAGGAGGACCATGAGGTCATGGACTTCTTGGTAGAAGATGCTTTTGATGACGAGCTACTTGGTGAAGACTAGGACGAAGAGGATGAACATGGACTGGCAGAGAAGCAGCTGAAATGGTTCCCCCACAACCCTCCTAGGTTGATGCTGGTGGTGGCTGCTGTATATACCGAGCTGGTGGTGCAGGTCGTAGAAATTCTATAGCCTGGTCCTAGATCTGTTTACGCTGTCTTGCTAACTCCTAATGTATGATAGTTGTCATGCCGTTACCATAGCAGTTGGCTTGGCTATACATAGGAGTTGGCTGTATAGCACAAACGGATCAAAGGACAAGATAACATTTGGCTGATTGTCAGAACAGAAAGAGTGAAGCTTCAATGTACAGTGGGGAAAAAATGTATTTAGTCAGCCACCAATTGTGCAAGTTCTCCCACTTAAAAAGATGAGAGAGGCCTGTAATTTTCATCATAGGTACACGTCAACTATGACAGACAAATTGAGAAAAAAAATCCAGAAAATCACATTGTAGGATTTTTAATGAATTTATTTGCAAATTATGGTGGAAAATAAGTATTTGGTCACCTACAAACAAGCAAGATTTCTGGCTCTCACAGACCTGTAACTTCTTCTTTAAGAGGCTCCTCTGTCCTCCACTTGTTACCTGTATTAATGGCACCTGTTTGAACTTGTTATCAGTATAAAAGACACCTGTCCACAACCTTAAACAGTCACACTCCAAACTCCACTATGGCCAAGACCAAAGAGCTGTCAAAGGACACCAGAAACAAAATTGTAGACCTGCACCAGGCTGGGAAGACTGAATCTGCAATAGGTAAGCAGCTTGGTTTGAAGAAATCAACTGTGGGAGCAATTATTAGGAAATGGAAGACATACAAGACCACTGATAATCTCCCTCGATCTGGGGCTCCACGCAAGATCTCACCCCGTGGGGTCAAAATGATCACAAGAACGGTGAGCAAAAATCCCAGAACCACACGGGGGGACCTAGTGAATGACCTGCAGAGAGCTGGGACCAAAGTAACAAAGCCTACCATCAGTAACACACTACGCCGCCAGGGACTCAAATCCTGCAGTGCCAGACGTGTCCCCCAGCTTAAGCCAGTACATGTCCAGGCCCGTCTGAAGTTTGCTAGAGTGCATTTGGATGATCCAGAAGAGGATTGGGAGAATGTCATATGGTCAAATGAAACCAAAATATAACTTTTTGGTAAAAACTCAACTCGTCGTGTTTGGAGGACAAAGAATGCTGAGTTGCATCCAAAGAACACCATACCTACTGTGAAGCATGGGGGTGGAAACATCATGCTTTGGGGCTGTTTTTCTGCAAAGGGACCAGGACGACTGATCTGTGTAAAGGAAAGAATGAATGGGGCCATGTATCGTGAGATTTTGAGTGAAAACCTCTTTCCATCAGCAAGGGCATTGAAGATGGAACGTGGCTGGGTCTTTCAGCATGACAATGATCCCAAACACACCGCCCGGGCAACGAAGGAGTGGCTTCGTAAGAAGCATTTCAAGGTCCTGGAGTGGCCTAGCCAGTCTCCAGATCTCAACCCCATAGAAAATCTTTGGAGGGAGTTGAAAGTCTGTGTTGCCCAGCGACAGCCCCAAAACATCACTGCTCTAGAGGAGATCTGCATGGAGGAATGGGCCAAAATACCAGCAACAGTGTGTGAAAACCTTGTGAAGACTTACAGAAAACGTTTGACCTGTGTCATTGCCAACAAAGGGTATATAACAAAGTATTGAGAAACTTTTGTTATTGACCAAATACTTATTTTCCACCATAATTTGCAAATAAATTCATTAAAAATCCTACAATGTGATCTTCTGGTATTTTTTTTCTCATTTTGTCTGTCATAGTTGACGTGTACCTATGATGAAAATTACAGGCCTCTCTCATCTTTTTAAGTGGGAGAACTTGCACAATTGTTGGCTGACTAAATACTTTTTTCCCCACTGTACTTGAGAACTACTATAGAAGTTGTTGGCTTTATTACAGGAAATATAGAAAAGAGAATATGACGTGGTTTGCCTGTGTGGCACCTGAATGCAAGGGCAAGAGGTTGTGTATGATAGTGATGTAACTTGCACTTTGTTTTCAGGTTTAAATGAGAATGTATTCCCCAAACTGTATTCTTTCAATAAAGTTGTTTCAATAATATTA